CTGTTTCCCCCACTCCTGCAAATCCCTTGCATATGGGCATGTGTGCCATTTTGCAGCACAGAACCAGCAGCCAGAGGTCCAAGCCCCATGTCTGCTTCTGATCACTGCAGATCAGTCTGGCTATAAATATCCTTTAGACTTATCAAGTACTAACCTTGTCTTCCATTAGTGAGGAAAAGTGCTCAACATGGAAAGATAAGTGATCCATTTTGGAAGTTTTAAGCTAGGTGGACAGCAGTCAGTTCTACTGTTAGCTTTCTGGATGTGTTGAAGTAGATCAGCAAGTATTTGTGGCTCCCAAGTTGTGACAACCAGAAAATAACACCCCTCCCAGTGTTACATTACTGAAACAAAGGAGATGGGCAGGGGGCTACCTGGAATGTTATTTGTGTGTGTCTGAAAGACTGTGAAAGTGGTTAGAGGGTGTCCGGGTTTTAGTAAAAAATGGAAGTAGATCTCATAAGCCTGAAGCCTGTCTGCCCTGTTTTAAACACTCAAGCTATGGCCTCAAAGCTGGTCTTGGGTGTTTTAGAATTCTAATTTAATTTTTTAATGCCCCTCCCTTCCTTTCATCCTTTGCTGTACCAATATATTTTATCAGTCTGGCAGTCTTTCTTACCATTGGCTCTGAAGCTTGGATGTGGGTTTCAATTAATTTCCCACTACTCTTTGCCATTTAGAATGAAGGCCTTGCTTTCTGGATAGGATTCTAAGGCAACAACCCTTCAACTTATTCCAGTCTACATCTTGAATAGAATTGAGCAGCACAAGAGGGGCAATTCACTCACACCTCTTGCATAGAGAGTTTAAGCTATTGGGTAGTATTACTGGACCCCCAACTCCTATCAGCCTCAGCCATTGCAGTCAAGGGGCAGGGATAATGAGAGCCGTAGTCCAGAGATATTTGGAGGCTCATGGGGTCCCTACCCCAATGATGTAAACAGCATCCAAAAGGATAGAACCCAGACTGCAGTAGGGAAACAGTAAGATTTGTAAATACTTGAAAATATTAACATGGGGTGGGGGTGGGTCACCATTTTAGGCCATCAATGGGAGAAAGATTTGTAATGCAAATCAACACTCTGACCAATGCCGGTTTTGCATTCACATTGCAGCAAGAGTCATGCATGAAAATGCACTGATTGTGTAAAGGAGGTGCATAGTCCATAACGTCTCTGGTGAGCTGCCTTTCTCCTAGTGCTATAATGGAGCAGCGTTTAGGCAACTGTATGTGATAGAGGGGTCAAGTGGGAAGCAGTGGAACCTGCTGTTTTGCCTGAGTAAGGCTGCTTGGTCTTCAAATTACCAGGTTACCTTGTGGCAGGAGCTGAGAGTGGCGGCAGCAATGTGTGCTGAACGGACCAGAGCACAGTGAAGAGAATGGGACCAACTGCTCTCATATTCTGATTAAAATTAAAGGCAGCAGTAACCTGGGGGTTAGCAGAGTGAAGAACCAGGTTTTCTGAATTCTGCTCCTAGCTCAGGAGTGCAGAGAGACCGAGTACATGGATTTATGGCTGGATCATCTGGACCTGTCTCTGTGGGTGCTTCCGGCCAGAGGCTTGGTATTGCAAATAAGTAATTTGGGTTTTACAAACAGCCAACAGGTGTGTTTTTTAAATCAGATTTTCTGCAAAAAGGAAAAAAAATGGATCAAAGGCAGGGTGGGGGGACTACCGCTTTATTGCAGCTGCTACAGAACCTGTGCATGTATGGGCAGCACCAATCCCATGTAAGAACCTGTCAGGAAGCACCTTTTGAGTTCAGTTTCTAGTTCTCTCCAGGGCACAGTTGTAAACAAAGTGCTGTTTTTCCCAGTGAAGCAATGAAGAGAAAATTGGAGTGGCCATTTATGGACCAATCAGTTGATATCTTTGAAGTTGTATGTGGTTGCTTTCAGATGACCTGTTTATTAAGTCGTCGTTTGCATGTTTGCAAACGTTGGCTGTTTTACTGAGCATTTCTTCTAATTTCTTTGTGGCGAGTTCACATGACACCGCAACAAAGAACTGTTATTCTACCCTTCCCTGTGTATTTTCTCATGACTTGCCTTACTATGAAAAGTCTGGGGTGTTGTTTTGTTCTTGGCTTGTTGTGCAAGAGCACAAAAAGCCACTTTAATCAAGCAACCTTAATTTGCCAGTATGCAACTGAATCCCACCTGAAAGTATTGACAGTCTTGCAAGTGCTGTATGTTTTTGAACACAAGATTCTCTGCCAGATTAAGGAGCACCTACTAACTGCATATGCACATTTGCAAAGAGGAACGGGGGCTCTGTTCAGCCCAAGGTCTTGGGAACACCTTAAAAAGCTGTTGAATGGGTTACAGAGAGGTGTCTTATCACATGCATTCCTCAGAGCTGTGTTGTAACATTGTGTGAGGATATTCCAAAGTGTTTCCTTTTCAGAGAAGCAGCAGCGTCTAGTGGATAGAGGCAGCGAGAGGGGATGCTATACAACAGCCTAGTCTTGCAATGTTAGCACAAGCCAACTTCTGAGGAGTAAGTGTATGTGAGCCTTTGAACACTCCTATATTCAAACCTCGCCTTTACTCTTCTTTCACTTACTGTCATTTTCACTGAAGGTAACAGGAAACCCTGCCAGGTGTGTTTCTTCCCCCTAATGAAAGGCATGTGTGGCTTCTTCCTTCCATAAGGAAATGTGCAGCCATTCCTCGCAAAGGGCGTTTGTGCCTCTTCCCTTGTCTGTGCCTTATCCTGGTTTCATTAGTGCACTATTTGAGAAGGGGCTGCTATACATGTAGCAGTTTTGCTGAAAAGAAAACCCCACTTCTTGTACCTTTTTTCCAGCACTGGAATGCCATAACAGGAGAACACGCATCTGCTGAAATGCTGCTTTCAGTGTCTCTCCCAGAGGCTCAGAGCCCTGTGAGACAACTCATCCTTTTGACCACCAAGTAACTTTCAGATTGCTTTTCTGTGACGTGTGTTTTTATTAGCTAAAATAAGAGCAGCTGTTTACTTTGCATTATATCACGTTATTTCATGAGAACCTAATGGAGCTGGAACTGAAACAGGGGTTGGGAACTTGGGGGAGGGAGACCCCAATATTGTTGGGCTACAGTTCCCATCATCCCTGGCCATGCTGGCTGGGGCTGATGGGAGCTGAAGTCACCTGGAGGGACACAGGTTCCCCACCCCTGAGCTACAAAGGTGGTCATATTTGTTTCGCTGTATCACAGCCTTCCCCAACCTGGTGGAACCCAACTCCCACCTGCCCAGGCAGCATTCTGGCTGGAACTGATGGGAGGTGCAGTTCAAAACAGCTGGAGAGCACCAGGTGAGCACAATATGCTGCAATGGACCATGAAGAACCTATTTCTGGGGTGACTGAAACTTACTTACTTTAAATTAGTCTGTCACTATAGTTTGATAACATAAAAATACTATATCATCACCTTCTCTGGCAAACTGCCTAATCTCTCTATTTTATAAAGGTTAAAAAGGGGGTTACAGAGGGTGTCTTATCACAAGCATTCCTCAGGGCTGTGTTCTTACACTTTGGAATATCCTCACACAATGTATCTCCTTTTCAGAGAAGAAGCAGTGTCTAGAGCAGGGGTTGTCAACCTGGTCCCTCCCACCCACCAGTGGGCGTTTCAGGATTCTGGGTGGGAGGGAGGGGGTTCTATGGCACAAGCTGAATCCTCCTTCCATCAAGCACTGGGGGGGCAGTAAGGAAATTTTACCATCAAGAAAGAGGCATTAGTGGGCGGTAGGTATAAAAAGGTTGCCTACCCCTGGACTAGATGATCCTTGTGGTCCCTTCCAACTCTATGATTCTATGAGAAGGACTAGGATTATGGGTCACAGGACAAGGAGAGTCTACCAGGAATACATAAAACCTGAGCTAGCAAAGGCCCTGCACTGGCCTTGTTTAAAAATAAGCAGACCACAGCCTGAATTGTTCTACCATTAATATGCCTAGACAACTTTGAATGATTCTCCCCTCTAAAAACTGGGAATTGTATGATGCTGCACTAATAGCTTGGACAATTGCTGCCATTTTGATTTCTAGGCTGCTTCTTAGGTGCAATCCACTAAGCCCTGCTGTTGCTCATTGGTGGGAGCCATATGTAAACAAGTAGAAAAAGAGCAACAGCTGAGCTTGGTTCTGTGTGTGTGTGTGTGTGTGTGTGTGTTGTGCTTTTTAACGCAACAAAGCAAAGAAGCCACCAATATTATTAAAGACGGCACATCAGTAGAAGAGGAGAAAATGGGGCTCAGTTAGCCCCCAAATCTTGGGGGGAGGGGGGGTTGGTTTTAGTACAGAGATCTATTTTTGTCTACTAAAGAATTTATATATGGATGTTAGCCAGAGATGTCTTGATAATATATATCTATATATAAGGGGGGGGGGAGCTGCGGCACTAAGCCTGGTTATCTTTTATATCTGTATTTTTCTTCTCTGTGTATAAACGGCAACACACCTTCTGTTTACTTCGTAAAATTAACACCCAACGGGTGCTTGCTCTACTTTTGTTATTTGGCACCTGTGTCTGTCTTTCCATCATTGTCTTGTTTAGCTTCTCACTTTGGGAAGGGGAAAACAAAGGCTGCAGCAGGCAAGGCCTGGAGATTCTCCAAGCAGGAGTCCTTTGTTGCAATCTGAATTTCTTATTGTGCGTTTAGCACCAGAAAGAGGTTATGGCCACACGCTGGATGTGCTCTAGCTATAGTTACAGGAACTAGTCACAGGCAACAGCAGGTAGCCCTAGCTCCAGATGTTCCAATTCCATACACAGAAACAGACACAGCTTGCCACTTCAATATCATCATGATGCACATTTGCCACTGTTGGGCGGGGAGAAGGCCACTTCCGCATGCAGCGCACACTTAAAATCACAATATCGTAGACTTTGAAGGGCCCCAAGGGCCAGCTAGTGCAACCAGTGAGGGCACTGTGAAGATATAAGGTCCCAACAATGGAGAATGGGGCTAGGATGTAGTGAAGCATTATAAAAAGAACACAGAAGCCTATTCCAGTGCTGGATAAATATGGACATTTCAACTTTATTGAATGTACAAAGATTCTTTCTACAGCGACGCAGCAGGAACCGGTGCCATGCAGAGCTGGAGAGGAGGAGGTTCTGTTCAGACCAGACAACCGTCGGCTCACACAGCCCAAGAGCAGGCTGCACAACAGGGTGCAGGGTGACAGTATTTTGGCTCTCTCCAAGGACTGCAACAGCAAAGCCTGCTGATCTCTCTCTCTCACTGGCATCCCACTCAAGTATTAGGTTAGTTTGGTGATAGGAAGCAGCCACCAGTGGAAGTCTGCAACAGCAGCATGGATTAAGGTTGAAGATGGAGGTGCTGTCACATTTCCAAAGAGTCTGGGGTGGTTGCTGGCACAACATCAACATTCAAGCAAGAACGAACCACAAAGGGATGCTTATGTTCCCAACCCACCTATTAAAAACAGTACAATTGCAACAAAGCCAGGTAACTGGACCACAAGAGGGAGCCAGTGCAACTATTTGCAGGACCACCAGCTTCTGAGAAAACTAATAGCAGCAAAGGGCCAGAGGGGCTAGTGTAGGGGCCTGTCCTTCCCCTGTCTACCGCCCCCAATGATCACGGATCTCCTGCCATAGATTAGCCACACCTACACAAGTGACATCATGACAGATTCTTACAGTTCTGAAGAGCCTTTGAATAACCTCAGAGCCAAAACAGGTAAGCTTACAAGACAGCAAGCACAACGCAGAGGACAAGAGACCTAGAGCGCAAAGGAAGACAAGGGCAGGCCTACACATCAAGGGCCAGCCCTCATTAACTTGGAGGAGGAAGAGAAAACGCTTTACAATCAAACTGCAGGGCACATTTCACGCCCCATGTCTCTGCTTGCTTCCACTCCCACTTACAAAATGGCAGTAGCAGCAGTACAGGTTTGCAGCAGCATTGCGCCCAGAACAAGCACCACCCTTCCAGGGTCCAGCATCAATTATTTGAGGGATCTCAATGGCTCAGGAAAGGGAGCTGGGAAGAAGGCAGGGTGCCCTCACAACACACCTCCAGACTGGCACTAGGAAGAAGGCATGCTAGCACAATAGCAGGAAGGGAGTTCAGCATGGATGGAAGGCCGCCTCCTTCAAACAAGTGATGTGACAGGAAGGTGCACACAACACACAGGGAAATACAGTCAAAGAAAGATTTTCACCATCTGTATAACATTCCCTCATGCAATCCTCAAAATTGGTACGGGCTCCTCTCAAGCTACGTTTCAACTGGAGGAGCAAGTGTACATTAAAAAGTGGCAAAGGGATTTGCAGGGAAAGCAGAAAGGCAAGATGTTGTGGGGCTGGCCTGCAGCTGGGGAGGGGTAACAAATGCCTGATGCAATATGGTGCACAGGAGTGCTAGAGAGCCGCTGTGCTGCTCCATCACAAAATGGGGCCCGTTGCATTCAGAGTGCAACGAGGCCAGGCCATATCCCAGCCTCCCTTTCAAAAACTGAGAAGCGAGAGCCACACAGACTCGGAACATTGTGATTGGGAAGAGAGTGGGACACTGTCCCAGTAATTAATCCCAGACCTGCTTGGGAACAAGAGCCTCAGGATTGATCCAGCATCCAGCAATGGTACAAGGAGCCCAAAAGTATCTGCAATCACATAGGATTTTTTTTTTGGGGGGGGGGGGGGGAGACCAAGATAGGTGGCCTCGGGTGGTGTTAGCTAGACAGATATCTATATGATCTATATGGCCCCACAGGCAAAATGCTGCCCCTGGAGGCAGAGGCTGCAAGTCCAACAGAGAACAACCTGAACAACAGGCCAGTCCAAGGAATGGCAGCAGGAAAGAGAGAGGCTCGGTCCCCACATCCCTTCACTCTCAGCCGCTGAGCGGGTGCAGATCTACCTTGACCTTCTCTCCACTGCTCAGCATCCCAATAGTGGGATAAAAGCCCCCAGATGGCACCACAGCATCTTTCTTGCCAATAATCTTCCCATTGCGTGTGAAGAACACCTGGGAGGGAAAGGGGGTGGGAAGAGAGAGAAAAGAAACACAAGACTTCAGATTAGATCAGTGCAGTTTAGCTCTGCAGTTGATTCTCCTTCTGCAGAACCAGGCTCTGGATGAAATTTCCAAAAGGCAGATTGATTTGTTATGTGCTTAAGAACAATGCACAAAATTAGATCAGCTTCTACAAACTCAGTTGACTAAAAAAGTCAATATAAAAATCTGCTTTAAAAATAATAATAACTAAAGACTATAGGTGACAACCTAAGACAGTCAACTAAAGTCTCTTATCCAGCTCTATTCAAGCTTCCAGACAGAGCAAAAGCAAAGGCCAGTGTCCCGCCCAAATCTACTAATAGCTATTTGTAATCCAGGGTTTCCCATAAGGCAAGGAACCAGTTCTTAGCAAGTACAAGCCCAGCTTGTGCATAAAGGAATCTCTGAGACAAAATGCATGAACAGCTACCTTAACCTGATATGTATCTTGCTGGACTGCACCACTTCAGGCTGCAGGTGGGAAGATTAAGCATTTGAATGTTCAGTTTTAGAAAGGTCTCCTTCCACATACACAGCTAGAGGAAATGTGCTACTAACTCAAGTATTAGCTGATTTGCTAGATTTGTATGTGGTCAGAGTTCTGTTCCCCCTGTCCAAAAAAATTAGGGAACATCCAGAAACTGACACCCCCTCCCCATCCTCAGTCTGAAGTAATACAATCTATAAAGATATATTATCACATGGCATTGCTTATTACCTAATTCACTTGCTCTAGACACTGACAAACCAACATTATCAGCAGTGCATGTCAGCAATGGGAACTCAAATACTGGCACAATGCTGGGATCTCAAGTTCTTTGTGACCCCAAATCTGGGAGTAAAGCCACCCTGGAGCATTGCTAATAGCAGCCACCAGGGGAACCTCAAACACAATGAGAAAACTAGCATAAACCAGACCAAATGATGACGGACAAGATGATAATCATAGAGCAACAGGAGCATGACTTTTTCTCTTCCCTAGTATATACTGGGAACAGAACTGCAGAAATTCCTGAGGGGCTGACAACAAGCTAGCTGCTTTACAGAAACCTGTAACCTATCCCTTGGGCAACACTTGGTATGAAACAGCTGCCAACATAAGTGGCTGAGCGCCTGCCTGGTAGGACCCTGCCTTCTGACTGTGGACTAAGATGACAATAACCATGTGATTAACTATGAAGTGCAGCCAACAATATTCCTCTCAACACCACGTTCAGGGGGCAGGATCCCACATTTTGCACTGAACTGTCCAGGGAAAGGCAGCTACTAGATCCTCCAGAACTGTGTCATGGAGCACAAAATTTAGTATCCTGGGAGACATTTCATTATACTATAAGGAATAAAAGATTCTAGCCTCTATGGCTGCAAAGCTAGACCTTCTGGTACCTCAGAAACCTGAGGGGGGGAGCTAAAAGAAAAAGTTCCCAACTCTAAAATGAGATTCTGTGGCCTGAAGAAATTTGCTCAATGCAAGTAGTTTTTCTCTAGCTACACATTATGAGAAGCAAGTCATGAGAAGAAATGCCCAGATCACTGAAAAGTGTGCTCATTCTTTCCTCCCTGCTTTATATTTTAGAATTTCAAAAGTTATTGCCACATATTTATGTTTGCAGCCATTAAGGACTAGAAACCATTTTGAAAAAGAAAACAAATGGAAGCCAAGGGCTGCAGGTGTTAAATGTGAAAGTGAGATACCGATACTCACAGCCCTATTTGTGATCAAGTATCTTCTAAAACTCTTGCATTACCTGCTCAATAGTGGAAGCTACTTGTGGAACCACTAATATGCGGAAAATAAAAGTCAGAATTATATGCTAAGGGAACCTACATTCTGCAACCAGAATTATTCAAGTCACCAACCAGGGGGAAGGGGTACAACCAGAAGGGTAATGAACATTGGTAATGTGCAAGTTGCAAGGTAGCCTTCCCCAACGCAGTGCCTTCCAAATCTTACTGGAATCTTACAAATCTTACAAGCCCCATCATTCCTGAACACTCACTGTGCTGGCTGGAGCTAATGGGAGGTAAAGTTTAAACATCTTGAGGGTGCCCTGTTGGAGAAGGCTGTTGCAAGGGTAGGGCTCAACCAATAAACCTGATGCATGCATTTCCTAAGGGAACTTAGGCTGCTCTGTTTCTTGCTTCCAAATAGAAGCCATTCTACTTTCTCAAGCACTTCCTGATTTGGGAAAGGGACAGTTCCACTCTTCTAAATGGTGTGTTTTAATTCCATTTGATCTTGACAGAAAGAAGTTAGTCTTATCAGTAACTCTTGCTGGCACTTACCACCACTTTCTTGCCTTCATGTTCTTGCTCCATGTCTTCCCCATCCTCTTCCTCCTCCTCCTCCTCCTCAGCTTCCTGGTGCAAGTAAAGGACATTCCTCACGCCTCGCGGCTTGGCCCGAATAGCCACCGTGTCACAGCTGTCATCACTGTCACCTGTAGGGCACCCACACCCCTATATAATTCTTGCCATGGATTCATGCGCGCCAGTCAACCACTACAGGAAAATCATTCCAAGGGTAGGCTTGACAGCCACAAAACTGCCTCTGGCTCAGATCTACAGTCACTAAGCAAGCTTCCTCCCTCAAACCCTTTAATGGTAAGCACAGCTTCCCTACCCTGTTCTCTGTCTAGCACTCCTCTGGCAGTGAAGAACCTTTAGAACTCTTGCTTTTAGAGAAGAGGGTGGCAGGAACACTAGGCCATCAGAATCCTCAGGGAAGAGGGTAAAGTGAGGCCAACAGTGAGTTCCAACTTCAGGAACATGGCAACATTGGTCACCTTGCACAGTAGAAGGACCAGGAGAGGAAAGTACGAAGATACGTTATCACAATGCCACCATGCCGGTTTAATCCAGGCTTGTAAATGAGCCAGCTGCCTTGCCACCAGTGGAACTAAAAATTGCCTCTAAGTAGCCAAAAAGTGAGTCTTACGGAAGTTAGGTTTTAAAAAACCCACCACCCCAATCTGCACACACACACACACACACACACACACACAAATTTAGACCATAGATGACCAATATAAACATGCTAAGATTTCAGCTTGCTAACACGTCCTATTTGTCAGAGTGGTATTATACAATGTACTAGAGAAAATAGATTAGTCCTAACACTACTACTACTACTACTACTATTATTATTATTATTACTACTACTACTACTACTACTACTACTATACCCCACCCATCTGGCTGGGTTGTCCAAGCCCCTCTGGGCAGCTTCCAACACTTACAAAAACATCAAACATTAAAACTTCCTGATACGGGGCTGCCTTCAGATGTCTCCGAAAAGTTGTCTGCAGAAACTTGCCAATGCAAATCAAGCTCTGTTCACACAAGCATGTTATGACTCAGAGCCATCCACTGTGATGTTTTTATTGCTTGCTTTACTTAGTATCATGATTCACCAAGTTCTAGACACTCACCTTCGCTGTCAAGGATGTAGTCACGCGGGAACATGATCCCACAGCCCATAATGTCTCCCTTGTAGCAGCGAGGCCCAAAGGGGTCGCCCACTCCACTCCCATGAAAGATCTTGCCATCATCTGCAAAAGAGAAAAGATGCACCATTGATAAAGTCTAGGAACAAATCTGGAAGAAAATGCTGACCTCAACCAGCACATGAGACTTCTGGGTATTCCTGCCTGCCCCCACAATACCAGCAAAGCAAAATGCTGATGTCTCAAAAGCTCAGGTGGAGATGCCACAGGTATCCCCTAAGCCACACTGTCCACCCAAGCCATACCTCATCGCTTGAGCTTGGAGGGGGGTGTTACAGAGAGAGCATGTATGTATGAATGAAAGAGAAAGAGAGCATATCTATACACACACACGGGTGAGCAACCTGTGGCCCTCCAGAAGTTATGAGACTCCCAACTCCCATCAGCACCAGCCACTATGTTCCATGGTGAGGGACAATGAGAGTCGATATAAAGGGACTCTGCCTAACTTTCAATTCACTTGGAGGCTTCCCAGTGTTTACTCAGACAAGCTCAAGGATTGCATAACTCTCTTGTTCCCAAGTCTCGGGAGCTCTGCTGAGCTGTGGACTAATAGCTATGGGAGTGCAGTTTTCTGGAACCTGAAACATCAGCCTCAGGGTTTTATTGTGATTAGTATCCAAAACATGGCCAAAAATCAGAGAAACACTTAAGATTTCCATGCAATTAGATTAGCTGTTTTAAGAAAGCTTCTCCCACCACAAAAGTCATACAAGTTCAGCTCAGCTCAATTTTCTAGGCCGTTTTATTCCAATGCCATTAAGGATACTGACAGTCAGATGCTAAGTACAAAACGTGAGATGCAGAGAATTAGGGTGAAAGTTCACCATTTCTACATTAAGCAAGCTACTGGATGGTGACTGAAAAGTGCTGATTGCAATGTGGGGTCTTGTTTGTCATCAGAGATGGGAAATTCTTTCAGCAAGGCTGAAACTTCATTTAAACCATGGTCACCTTTGAAACAATCCCACAACTCACTTTATGTTTTTTCAATTTTTCATTTCATGTTTCATGAATTTTACACATTCAAAGGATGAACCAGAGGTAGATGCAAGCTAGAAGTATACACGGTTCTTAACATGATCAGAATTTTCTTGACTCAACTATCAAAAACCCCTAGCATGACATTCATAACTGAGAAATGGTTCCAGGAAGCAATCTGGGATTCCTTGTACATGAAGTCAGGAGAGTGTATCTCAGGGTAACAGCCCTGGGGTAGGTAACGATGAATCATGATTTGTGAAGAGCCTGGTTTCAACTCCTAAAGTACATTTGGCATGATGGCTGAGTATGCCTCCCCAGGGCTTGAAGTGCTAAGAAACTTTCCCATAATGCCTGTTCACCATGCAGTCCCTCCAGGCCAAACAAGCTGGTTCATTCAATCAGGCACACTACCCTGCCAGGCCAGAGAGGGCAAACACACTATTCGACACCCATGATCAAAGACAGGCAAGTTCTGAACCTGGTGGTCCAAACAGTTCCCTGCCTCCGGGCAGACAAGAACAAAAGGGAGAAGGGAAGGGGGGACCCAGACCACTTGAAAGGCCTTGGCACTCACTTTGTCTCTCCAAGTTCAGCTATGCAGCGGATGCGGGCGCCCGGAGCAAAAGGCATGTGGCCAAGGTCCTTTGTCTCCATGAAGGAGGGAGGTTTGTTCAGCAAAAGGGCAGTAAATATTTTCCCATGTTGCCAAGGAAACTTTGGGAATAATGTTGTGTAAACATTCCAGAGTGTGTCTAAAATAATGAAGGCCGGCCAGCAAGAGTGCCTTTTAGGGAATCCCCCTCTGCTCAACAGGCACAGGCAAGGAAATCAAAACAGCAGGCTAGAGAGGGAAACGCCTACAGGGCAAAGAAGGATGAGGGATGGCCTTACAGGGGAGGAGGCGGAGGTTGAATGCACCTTCTCTCTCTAATGCTGCTGTCTAAGCACTCCCGGAAGGAGATGCAGGCTGCCTTCTCTACGCAGAATAACGTAGTGTTAGATGCAACTGGTTCAGAGGACTTCAGGTTGAAGGTGGGAATATTATTTTGAATGCTGCCTCAAACTCCCACAATAACTAGTACAGTCAAACCTCAGTTGTCGAACGCAATCCGTTCTGGAAGCCTACTCGGCTTCCAAAATGTTCAAAAACCAAGGTGCAGCTTCCGATTGGCTGCAAGAGCTTCCTGCACTCAAGCGGAAGCCACGCTGGATGTTTCAGCTTCCAAAAAACGTTTGAAAACCGGAGCCAAAATGTTCCAAAACGGAGGCGTTCGGGAGCCAAGGTTTGACTGTACATCAGGACTGTAACCAGCTCACACTGTGCAGTGCTGCTTTTCTATTTGTGGGGAGCGGTCTTTGTTTGCTTTAACATGGGGAGGAATTTAAACAACATGATCCTCAACGTACCATCTGATATGGCACTGTCCATTCTAACTCCCTATTCTGCCGCATGCATGGATCGGTTCATAATGGCTTAAGTGCACCATCCAAACTGGGACTCGGACTTACACTCATTCCTTACTAAGCTCAATATGTAGTCAATTTTTGTTCTAGGCTACAGCTCATAGAAAGTGGAGAGAGAGCTTAACCGATAGTATTAGTTCATAGGATATTCTGAGACTAACTCAGCGCTGTGAACGCAGCACAGTGCAAGAGCAAAAAGGACTGAAAAGGAGCAAAAGCGCTTTGTGTTTGCTAAGCCATTCTCAGTTATCATTACACTGAGCAGAAATTTGTAGAGAGGTATCTTGCACTCACATCTATCTCTAGTTCCCCTCCCGCTCTTCGAACCGCGTTCAAAGGGCTTCCCAGCATACCAAGATCCCAGTTTATTTTAGGCAAGCTATTTTCCCTAGCAGGGCTCTGGTTATTCAGTAGCAGCAGTGGGATCCATCTCAAAAGTCTGACCAGGAGTTAGGCGTGAAGTAACAAGCCAGCTGAGATCAGAACCCAAAGACACTGCAGCCAGCAAAGTGATTAAGGAAAGGGCAACTGGAGGTAAGGAAGGCATGTTCAGCAATGGGTGTCTGGGTGGCTCTCCTGGTCTGCTGACCAGAAGGGTTTGATTGTATATGGCTTCTTAGCCATTCAAGCTGTGAGCCAGTCAGGATATAGGATATCAGGAAAATGGCAGAGAGTTTGGTATAGGACTGGTCCATGGGCTCTGGTAAACTAACACGCTTCTTAATAGATTTTTTTGGAGGGGAGGCAAGTAAGGGGAGGGGGGAAATGATGGAAGTGTGTTGTTGTTTTTGTTGTTGATGATGTTATTTTATTTGTACCCCACCCATCTGACTGGGTTGCCCCAGCCACTCTGGGCAGCTTCCAGAGGATACAAAAACATAATAAAACATTAAAAACATGCCTGTAGAGGGCTGCCTTCAGATGTCTTCTAAAGGTTGTATAGTTACATATCTCCTTGACATCTGATGGGAGGGTGTTCCACAGGGTGGGTACCACTACCGAGAAGGCCCTCTTGGTAAAATTATGCTTTCCGTGGAGAAAGTATATAGGGAGTTTTTCTCCCTCTTTCACAATAGCAGAACCCAGGAGCATCCAGTGAAGCAGAATTGCTGTTATTCTTTGCAGATAAGAGTCAGTCCAGGGCAGCAGAAAAGTTTCAAACTGCTCCTTTACCAAAGCCATCCTATCCCAACAAAAGAGGGAACTGTATTGAACATGTGGCCTGCACGGTGTGCTTGCTCACATATATACCAATACAGTGGTACCTCGCAAGACAAATGCCTCGCAAGACGAAAAACGTGCAAGACGAAAGAGTTTTCCGTTTTTTGAGTTGTTCCGCAAGACGAATTTCCCTATGGGCTTGCTTCGCAAGACGAAACGTCTTGCGAGTTCTTGCGAGTTTGTTTCCTTTTTCTTAAAGCCGCTAAGCCGTTAATAGCCGCTAAGCCGCTAATAGCCGTGCTTCGCAAGACGAAAAAACCGCAAGACGAAGAGACTCGCGGAACGGATTAATTTCGTCTTGCGAGGCACCACTGTACAGCCTCATGGTGGCCATGAAGTTACAGGGCAAGAGAGTACTGAGGATAGCACCAAACTCAAAATCAGAAGAGGGAGGAGGCAAGCTCGATACAGGTAGTAAAAAGTAGCAGTTTGTTTAGTATGAATGTCCAATGCACTTCAACCAGGGATCATCCTCAAGGCAAATAATTTTCCTATCTTGTTCTGGAAAAAATAGAAAGCATGCTCAATAATATGCTTTGAATACTCTTGGTGGGCTCCTTTATTGTACTAGATACAGATGTTGCTAGGCTCCAGCTCCCATCAGCCCCAGCCAGCATGGCCAATGGTCAGGAATAATGGAAGCTGTAGTCCAATGGCATCTGGAGGGTCACAGGTTGGCCAGTCCTGCAGTAGCTGAAGACCCAAGAAGGCCCTTCACCACACAGTGGTATTTTATTACTCCAGCCTAGAGATACCTTAGTACAAACACATTAAGCACTCTTCATGACACAAACTGCTATTTTATCTCATATGCTTGCCTCCCAACTCTTCCTCCACTCTTATGAAGTCATGGGCCACTCCTCACAAGGCAGCCTGAGCACGAATGTTGAAGCTCCCAGATGTGCCCAAATTCACAGCTCTCACCACCAACTTCAAACCACTTAGACTGAGGAGTGAAATCAAGAGTGCATTGAAAAGGAGAAAACATTCGGTTCAAGGATACACAGAAGAGATCACAGGCCAAATCTGCGGCAGATGGTCAAGGCTAGAGAAGCTGAGATGCTTCTGGCTCTCATAGGAAGCAAATCTGCCTCAGCCAGCTGGCCATAGAGTCTGTATCTGAGGAAAAGGCAATCTTTTTACTTTGGTTTATAGCAACAAATCTCAAATTGTGAGAAAGGCTTCTCAAAGAAGTGTGGGCCAGAGGCGCCAATTGTTTATCTGTCTTGTATTCTTTTTATAGTGACGAGCTTTAGCAATATTGTAAGCAAAATTATGTACATTCTACCATCTGTTGCAAGAGCAGGTATCACTCTAAGTGAAGAATTCAAATTCACAGGAATCACAGCTTTTCTTTTTTTAAGTTTCTAGCCCTTCAGCCTGGTGAGATCACACAGGCATGGAAGAAGGGAATGGGAATCTGATAAGGTTTTCCAATTGATGGAGCTTCAGTCTCCCACATTTATTTATTTAACAGGATTTCTATACTGCTTAATTGCAAAAACCTCTTAGCAGTTTACATAGCTCTTTGCCTCTTCCCATTTACAGTTTATCCAATCCACTGTTCTGAGACATATAGGTTCTTTTTTCAGATAATTATTTTCTCATTGAAACCACCCTGTGCAAACATAACACTTAACCATAGTTCATTGCCTGTTAACCCCGGCAAAGATTCCTGATGATAGTGAAATCTCCTACCAAGCTAAGTCCTGCTCAAAGAGATCATTTAGATCGAGGGACCACTAAGGCCATCTTGTCACTTTGCAACCAAGAGGCTGTAAAGTTGAGGGAACTACCTTAATCACGGTTTGATCAGTGCAGATGTAATACAATGTCTAGCCCTGGTTTGCAGAATATATAATACAGATGCATGTACTTTTTTACTCTCTGCGATAAATGTATACTAGTCATAGAATTTTGGCTGTAATAAAATGGGAATAATCTCTATTATTATTTTCTAAGTGCCAGAGAGTACACAATCCTGCCTAAAACATAAAGCTCACAGGTTGATAACATTTCCTTCATTTGTCCAACCACCTAGTGATGTGAGTTGCTAGAGAAATGGGTAACCCATGGGTCACAGTAGAGCTGGGATTTGTCCTGCTTAGTGTACTATCCACATATTCTCAAGCATATTCACATCCTGAAGGGATACCTTCAAAAGCAGCTGCCAAGATCCCCAAGATGCTCAGTTCCTATTTTTCATGCTTGTGTGATGCAGAATGTGTATTACACCAAAACCTGGTGGCAACTCAAATGTTGCACTTTAAAATCCCCAAACTGCTTAGGGCCTATCTCCTTGTGGCTATGCCTAGTCTCATAAAACAACCCTCTTTACACTCCTGGAGAACCTTGATCTGCAGGTTTCATATATTCGCTTTCATAGATTCACTTGCTGGCTGTGCAGAACAAGGGCCTCTGAAGTTGTGACACCACATCTCTGGAACTCTCCCACTCATGAGCTTTGCCTTCCTCAATCCTCAATTGCCCTTCCTTCAATCAATCAATAGCTAGCGAAGTCTTTTTGAGGAAGGCATGTGGAGAGGAGACAAGATGCTATTTTAAATATGCTGCATTCATAAAATTTTATTGAACTTGTTATTATTGCTGATTTAGACACCAGTTGTTCAGTTTCCTACTTTCAGAAAAATGGAGGAAGGAAATATACCAAATAAAGTATATCAAGAAACATCATTTAGCCACCAAACTGCTCTTCCCACTGTGCCCTAAGCTTGGCCGTTGGTGCTGCAGATCTTCACTCACCTGCATGGTAGGCCACAGATCCCCTGCTCCAGCCAGGATGCCGGTTTTTCGGGTAGTCCTGGAACAAGAGAGAAACAGAGCAGAGCAAATCATGCAGCATTACAATTTTATCACTGAAGGTTCTTTCAGCAGAAAAATGGCAAGCTGTCAATACTGTATTTTAAAACGGGTTTCCACTTGAAAGGTGCTTGATTCCTGCCTCCCTCCCACCGCAGCTGCACAGTTCATAGAATCATAGAATTGGAAGGGACCGCGAGGGTCATCTAGTCCAACCCCCTGCAATGCAGGACCCTTTTGCCCAGTGTGGGGCTTGAACCCACAACCTTGAGATTAAGAGTCTCATGCTCTACCAAGTGAGCTATCCCAGCTTCAACATCTTGTTTACTCTCTTCAGCACCAAGATGTGTTAACTGAGACAGCGGTCCATGCTGAGTCAAGATTCCCCAGAGCATTACCTCAGTACCTCAGAGGGGCACATCCCAATGCTCTGGGAAACCTTGACTCAGCATGGACAGGGATTAGACCCACAAAGCTTTACGGCCACAAAACTGAGGAGGAAGAAAAGCCCTTACTGGAGTAGCCAAAACTCACAGGGTTCCAGCCTGCAGGGCATTCATTAGGGTGACTCAGCAGCACTTTATGGAGTTCCCTGAGCTCAACAACCAGGTACTGCCTCTCTCACTAGGCTGGAAGGGACAAGAAAAAGACTAAGAAAGGGTTCAAAGAGTCTAAGGAAAAGATGCTGCAAGATCTTCGAATCTAACCACACCATGCCCTTTAATTTAACAAGTATTTGCATTCATTTAACGTGGTTTCTTATCACACTAGAAAGCTTCAGTTGGTACAAAACAAGAGCACTGCAGATATTTCCCTTCAAAGCCCTCATTGACCTGGGACCCACCTGAGTAATTTTACCAAAAGCAGACGACAGCAGACCAACATGCCTTAATTTTATGCCTTTCGTAAGAAATGTATACTTTCTTGTGTGCTCTGCAATTTCAAATGCTAATCTTAGACCTAGCATGTCTTAAGCAGCTCCAGCTCTACAGGAATTAAGGCAGGTAAGGCAAGAGTTATACCACATCTGCAATAGCTGTGCTTGCAGCTCCAATCAAAAAAGCATCTCTTAAAAAGATGGGAAGCACAAATACACATCATTACATGTGTGTTTTAAAACACAACAGTGTTGGTTAAATGTTGAAACACCTTAACTTTTTAACAGAAACTGCCACACTGTGTGCCAGTGTGCCAAGAGAAATAAACATATCCTTGGAGCTCATAAAATCCAGGAAAGCTGCTGCTGCTGCCGCTGCCCATTGTGTCTTTGTGTGATTTACTGCTCTGGTCTTCCCACCGCCACTGTAGGCAGATCCTCCCCCATCTGTACCATCTGATGCCCAAAGTGGCAGAATTACCTACGATCAGTGAGCCATGCAGAAATGTAGGCATTGGGCTCATCTAAGGCAGGTAATTCTTACTATTTCATGCGCTAAATGCAAAATCTTTCTGGTGAAAATCTGAGGTGCTTCCAATTTTAATTCAGGAAAAAAGAAAGTGCTTTAGCTAACAGAAGTTTGGAAACACTTGTATAAGAAAATGAGTCCTGCACATTACTTTTTAGCCATCACACCCTATTGGTTGAGACTCATAGACTTGACATGGTAGTCCCTAGGTTCCAGCTGATCTGGAAACAAGTCTCCTACAAAACAGCTTCTGGTGGTCACACAAACACACCCACACCAGATGTAGAATCAATAGATTGTTTAGGGGATAAGTTGTCCTCCTGTAGGGACAGGAACTCAAGGGAGGGTGAAAGGAAGTTGATCCAGTTATTTTTTCTTTTCTTTTTCTTTTTGGATCTTGTATGGCTGCTGGGATTTGCTTGCTCGCTGTAGCAAGATGAGGAAGGAATGGAATGGTGTGGCCTTGAAGGCCAACCCAGCCACGTGAATCCAGACCATGTGTTGAGGCAAACAACAGAACCAGATGGCCACATCAGACAGGAAAGGAAGAGGGACAGACGCCAAACCAGCCCCAAAGAACAATCCTGCCTGCTTCTAATTTGTTATCTGGAATTCAGCAATAAGAGAGTCTGGCTCAGAAAAATCTTTGTAGCAGAAGCTGTGCAGGAGAAAGAAGCATGAAAAGACAGAGAACCCCAAGGCTGGGAGGAACCAAGTAATGATCTAGACCCTTGGGGTTCTCCAAAGCGGTTGTCCCATGGCAACACACAAAACTGCCAGGAGCACCACAAGCACTTGTTTGATATCATGTGGCTTTTTGCACTGAGGAATGTCCTTAAAAGGAGGAGGCTAGCTTAGAGATCTAACTCTTCCCTCATTGATGCAAAGATGAGTTTGCAGGAAAATGCCACCATACCTGTGCAATATGACCATGACCACCAAGACTGTGTGAAATGGCTTCTATGTGGCAGCTGGAACATGTAGAGCGCCTCACCACACCATATTGCATGCATAATTTCTATCAGCCACTGTGTCATTCCACCTCACAAAGAAGCCTCAAACAGACCAAGTTAAAGCCAGCGTTCAAGTGCACCCAGTGAGGTATCTGCTGCAGTTTTTTTCTAACTTCCAATCATTCTTTGTTTTGCAAAAGACACCAGGCACTGCAGAGCTCTTTCCCGGGACTATGTTAGAATTAATAATTTTTCTAGTTCCAGCCTGGTGTCATACTGTAACCTCATTCACATAAGACTATGTGCAAGTGGAAATTTTCCATTGAACATGCAAGTAATCATGCATGCTACACCATTCTTAGGCAGTCCCCAGCCAAATGAGATGGCATCCTGTGCAGTGCATTTGGAGGGGCTCCATTAAGCACACAACACAGCACACTCTTTCCCCCACCACAGTTTTACCTTTCGAGCCAAGCCCAGTGCAATGTAGCATTTCTCTCCTGGATCTACGATCTCAACTTCAAAGTAGTGACTCCTGGTACTTAGTGGCTGCCGAGCTTGGGCTAGACCCACGTCAATTATGCTCTTCCCCTTCCCCACGTACTCCAGGAGCTGCAGAGAAAAGGATGACACAATGATCAGCTGTCCAGATCAGACCTGACAGTCCATCAAGCCCAATGTTGTTTTCCAGGAGGATCACAAGCAAGGCATGTTAATACCCATCCACTTGTTAGTTAGCACCCTCCACTCCAATCATTTGCAGATTCTGATGTTGCCTTAAAAAGGGTGGGGGAATGCAGTGAAAATCTGCACTTTTCATTTCTGGGAACAGAAACCACATTTTCACAGCTGATGATAATCATCCTGAATATAGCATCATGTTTCCAAACAATTATCATGGATACATGAAAAGAATAACAAAAGGGGTGTTATTTAGCTAAGATCATTTCACAGAACGGAGAAAGGAATGCAAGTTGGTCGGCAATGGAGAGAGAACTATGAGGAGCACAAGTTACTGGTTGAATGGCTGCATGATAGGTAGCTAGTTGGTGTGCCTTTAAAACATGTACAAGCAGTTAAAGACAAACCAATGTGTGAAACCATGATATGGAAAATCCTATCCCTGCAAATACTGTATATCCACTTCTGTGCATAAGTACCTTAAACATGCAAGACCACTTTTCTTCAACAAGTTGAAATATATCCAGATAAGGCAGCCTTTTTTCCCTCCTCAAATTTTAAACATGTGAACAACAAATGGATTTTAATTCTACATTGTAGCTGTTTTAATTGTGGTAGTTTTTATAAACTGCCCTACTGAAGAGTGAGATATTAGTACAATAAATAAATAAATAAATAAATAAATAAATAAATAAATAAAGTGGGAGTCCAAGACATGCAGTTGACAAACATCCTCATCTTATTTTGCAGTCTCCAGTATTCAAGGTATTTCAGTACTTTAGGAGATCAACATTAAAGAAAAATACTGAAATGTTTTTAATACAGAAAACATACAATCATGTTTATAGCCACAAAGATATTCCATTGTTCATAAATCTGGAAATCCAGCAATACGCCACCCTGAATCTGGCATTACAGGTGGAAAAAAATCAAGGATGGATGGAATCATTTTGAAAACAAAGATATACCATAAGGAAGCAATGCCATGAGCAGCAAAATTGTGAAATTAGATAACATAAGGAAAATAAATCATTATGCATTCCTTATTTTAGCATATTGAGCTAGAGAACTAACATTGTTATTTAACATATACAGATACAGTAAAAGCAAACCATATTTTAATAAACAAGACCTTCTTCTCCCCTCTTTTTCTACCCAAACCTTGTCTGCCAGGTACATTTCAGACTTTCGTACAACAGTTTTCAAAGCAGAGTCTTCTGCACAGGTTTCAAAAGTGCTACAAGTGCTAAAAGGGAATAGCTTTTTTCACATATCTTCTCATTTTGCATAATTTATTCTGCATGTGCAGTGAGCGGCAAGGAGGCAAGATGAGCAGTGAAGATCATGCTCAGTTACCTCCAGTGTTCCTCTACCACTTCAAATTTTAGCAGAGAAGGAAACAAAGAGTTGAACTGAGAAAATATATGGTTGCCCTGAATTCCAGGATATCATGCACCCCCTGGTATAATTGACACTGCCAGGTGTTCCATCATCAAGCTACCACTGTTGTAGTAGGAGTTGTATAGCTGTAGTTGCAGCAATGATGTGATCAACAGCTCCTTCAAATCTGCATGAAGTATCTTAGCCCCAAGGGCATGGGTGTGCATGCACACAGACACCCCTCATGAAGCACAACCACATACTGAACTAATCTTTCCTGGCTCCTACAGCCCTGTGGAAAAACAGACCATTGACCCTTTCCACTAGCTTTCTGCACTGCTGCCATAGGATTCCAAGAACCATTCATCCATCTAAGCACAAAGCAAACATTTCAAGCAGCTAGAACAGGAAGCAGCTCGACATAAGGAGTGACCTACTCTGACAACGATCTATCCTGGAGGAAGAACAACTCTTAAATGTGATGTTCTTGTGCAAGTTTCAGATGATGTTATTGTTATTAGTAGTTTTATTGAAGGTGGCTTTATGTACAATTTAAATAAAACAATTTAACAATAAAAAGAGATGCCAAACCAGACTGGGGGAGTGAGAATTCAAATGAGAGGGATGGGAAGCACAGGAAATTCAACCTTGGTCTGACTTGGCTATTGATACTGAACTAATGTTCTTGTTCTACATTTCCCTTCCAGATGGTGCATATTACTGAGTGATTGGGAAAGTGCCTCTTATGGATGCATCTTGTCTGGATTAAATACAAGCATCTAGCTTATTCCTTCATCTATACATGACTACTCTTAACTGCTGGTGCTGACTTCTCTTCAAGCCAGTGGACAATTTTAGGGTGCTATTCAGCTTTCTGGGCAAGTGACTAGCACTGCACATATGAACTGCATTTAGGGACCATGTTTAGCTCCATGTCCCAATAATATAGCTAGTATACTGGTGGTGAAGTTTTTAGTACAATAGTCATTCTTATGCATACATCTCCCTATAGAAGGGGGGATGCGGGTGGTGCTGTGGGTTAAACCACAGAGCCTAGGACTTGCAGATCAGAAGGTCGGCGATTCGAATCCCCACAATGGGGTGAGCTCCCGTTGCTTGGTCCCTGCTCCTGCCAACCTAGCAGTTCGAAAGCACGTCAAAGTGCAAGCAGATAAATAGGTACCGCTCCGGCAGGAAGGTAAACGGCATTTCTGTGCACTGCTCTGGTTCGCCAGAAGTGGCTTAGTCATGCTGGCCACATGACCCGGAAGCTGTATGCCGACTCCCTCAGCCAATAAAACAAGATGAGCACTGCAACCCCAAAGTCGGCCACAACTGGACCTAATGGTCAGGGGTCCCTTTACCTTTACCCTATAGAACAGAGGTAGCCAATGTGGTGTCCTCAAGATGTTGTTAGACTCCAAACATCCCTGACTATCGGCTAAGTCTTTAGCGTTGTCCTAAAAACCACGTTTCAGTTCTGGATCTAGGCATGTAATGCAAATAAAGGCGAACTTATTTTCTGCCCTTTAAATTATACTTCAAAATCTGCCCCAGTGGCAGGCCACCTTACCATTCCATAATGGGCCAGCCCCAAATCAATCAATGAGAAAGTACATGGGACCATCGGTCTGCTGAAACTAAGCAGGTCTGGTCTCGAGAACCATATGTATGTCACTTTAAGTTCCTTGGCAAGATGAAAAGGCGGGATATAAATTTAAGAAAATAAGAAAGATGACCAACTAGGGCAGGAACAGGCATATATCCAGGAGCCCCTTTGGCAAAAGAGCAGACAAACAGGGTAAATATGCAAGGTGTGTTTACACCTAGCCCTGATGAATCACTTGCCAGGGCTGTCTTTAGAAAGCACTTTAATCCCCTTTTAATGGCAGGCCTTTTAAGAACTCCATTCAGTCATCAAAAGTACAGAAGGCCTGAAACAGGAACAGGCTTGGGCCAGGCAGCCCCACCCCACCTGATCTTCATGGCCCCAAGCTTCTATTTTGTGCTGCCCTGCCACCCTAGCGCTGTGCTGAAATATGTCATCCAGTTTCTCAAAGGTTTTCTTCCCTTGCAAAAGAGGTTTCAGCTTTTTTCTGCCTCATTCTCAGGACACTTCAGAATTTCTTTAGGATTTTGGTGGGAGTGCAGTCTTAAGCTTATTGTTGTGAGGTGGCCAAGACTGGGGTGGGGGTATTTCTTCCCAGTAAACAATTATCCAGCACTCTGTAGCCCCCCTGACTGGCTGCACTTTCTCTCATCTGAAAAAGCCCTGGGCAGGCAGGAGTTACCTGATGAGGGCTTTCCCTGGGCCTTAACTGAAGCACAGGAATTCGAGAAGCTTGCCAGGTGCGGAATACGATAGAGATGATTTGTAGAATGAAATAAATGGCACAGATGAAAACCTGTTGTACACCTCATGTTTGCCTGTTTCTGGGTTTAGATAACAAATGGAGTACCGCAATGCTCTCTACATGAGGTGTCCCTTGAAGACACCTTATACTCTGGAAGCTGCAGCTACAGCAGAATGTGGCTTAGCAGCTGCTGAGCAGAGCAGCTTAAAATGCTGCAAACTACTGAGCCCTTTCAAGGTGTTGGCCTTCATGTTTAAAGTTCTAAACTGCATGTGGCCCAAGTACTTAAAGAAGAGCCTCTTCCAGTACTAGCTATCCTGTCCCTTCAGATCTGCGATGGAGGCCCTGTTCATGGTACAGCTAGTAGGCACAGGACAGAGTCTTCTTTGTGGTGGCCCCTGAGTTGTGGAACTCCCTCCCATAAAAGTCCATCTCCCACTCAACCTGTCACTAATCAAACATATTTTTGAGACACACCTTTGTAGCAGGGGATTGTTATCAATCTGATATCCATTACCTGCTGTAGGTATCCAAGAATTTTTAGTGATATATTACTGTTATTGTTGTTTAAAGTTGTTCTGATTTATTATAATGATTGTATTTGTATTTTATTGTATGCCATCCTGGGCTCCTTTCAGAAGGAAGGGCAGGATACAAATAACAACAATCCTACTGGTACTGTTGATGCAGTCACTGTGCATATGTTTCTGGAAGCGGGAAGGAAAAATGACCTGGTGTCAAAACACACTATATGAAGCGGACCTGGACAGAGACATGGGCTGATAAGGTGCACTTCTCACAGAAAAACCTATGAAGATGAATGGCGTCTCCACAAATGTGACATGCAAGTATAGACTTTTGAACCTGACATCCTGGGAGTCTGAGTTTTTATCTTATTTTATTTTTTTAAAAAGTTTCTAGCCCCTATCATGTTGAAAATAAAACTTTAGACCATATAAAGGCAATGTCTGTTGTCATGAGGTGTGTTTTGAAGAGGTGAAGTGATTCAGCCTCTGTATAGTTTCCCTTCTCTCATTATAACCAGAATGGAAATTGTACCAAATCTGCCAGAAAACTGAGAATTTGCATAGTCTGTTCAGGTCACAGAACTTCACTTTCCTGGCAGGTTTAAGGATTTTTTCCTGAAAAACAGGATTCTAAAAAGGCATCCGGGGTGAAGGATTTCATTAATATTTCAAGAAAACATATGAAAGAGCCAGCAAGTTCCCAGCGGCCTGAAGAAGAACAGACTGTTAAGCAACACTGTCATGCCTTTCATAGCAGCACAATAAGGAGAAGTTCACTAGGCAATGTTTTCCAGTCTTCTTTTCCTCATGAAAAGCTGCACCTGTAAATTATTTGTCATGCAGCTGTTAAAGGCACAGATATAAGCTCCCTAGAAAAAAAGGGTGGCAGTTCCACCAAAAACGGCCAGCTGCCACCTTGGTGCAACAGGCCGGCACAAAGCCTGGATGGTGACTGGCCCTTTAGGAAACAGTTTCCATGCTGGCTTTCCTGAAAAGACTAACGGAATGCCTGAGGCTGCTGACTTCTGCCCTCAAGATCTGGTGATGTTGACTTTTATCTCAGGGCTTACTTGCTGGGGACAGAAAACTCAGGCTCATGAAAAGGACTAATGCTGCTGGATTTCTTCAGTCAGAAACACACTGAAGTGGGACGTAATGCAATATACAGGAGAAAATGCTTTTTTAAAAAATCCAGAGGAAATTCCTAGCTGAGAATAGTATTGTTCAATGACCCCATCAAGTACAAATTCAAAAGCTAGTTAACCAAAAAAAAAAGAGAAAAGGGCAAGAAAAAAGAGACAGACTTCTAATACTACAGGAGGGTGACCATAGGAAAATAGATGGCTTCAGGCTACTGCAACTCAGACATCCAAAATTCCAAGACAACCAGTTTTGAAAAAACAGACACACACTCACTTTCAAGAGACGCACAGCAAATCCAGGCCTACCTCCCACTCTGCCAGCGTGCCGAAAACCCACGCCCAGCCTTTGAAGAGTGGGCTTTTAATAAACAAAATATTAAATTGTCCAAAGGAAGAATGCAAGTTATGCATTTTATTTTTCCATCAGGCCAGGGAAAGAGCCAGGAAAGAGAGGGAGTTTATGTGGGTGAATTTGGCACTGCAATTCAAAGGACAGAAAGAGGAAAGAGGTTGTCCTGGAAGGATCCAGCAGTCCTCAACCCGTTTGGCTGGGTCCAAACTCAGGCTAAGCAGTTCTGTGCATCTTTTGAAAGTTCAGGGCTTCATCTCAGAGGACTGCTTCACACACTAGAACAATAGGAAAGGAGCGCTTCTGCAAATCCCTTCTGTGGTCTGAAAATGTCTCATCTAAACACCCTTAACAAATTCCAAATCACCATAAGCAATACATGCTTTTGGTGTTGCTCCGCAATCAGGATGGTGTGGGTTTATACATTGCTAAAGCTGCATTGTGGGAAGCTTCCATGGATGGTTTTTGTCTATCCAGGATCAGAGTGGAGAATTCTCCCACAGCCTAGAATGGCTAACAATTCTTCCACCTATGCTCAATTCTCTCCCCCCCACCCACCCATACATTTCTCAGCTAAAAATAAAGTACAATTATCTGAGGGCACATGAGATACCTTCCCCTTAAATCAACAGTGCAAAGGCTATGTAAGTACCAGAATACAGCATTTTGGGGGAGGGTTCTGCAGTCACAAAAAATTAAGCTTACTCAGAAGAAAAGGCAATCATCCATTTTAACCATGAAAAAGGAACCTAAATCTTGAATGGCAGAAGACCCTAGGAGTGAAAACAGCTGCATAAAGTGGGGAAAGGCAAGGGATAATTTTGAAATAAGAGAGGAACTGTAAATGGTTGGCTTCCCTGTTCTTGCAGGGAGCGGGGGGAGCTGTCTGGGCCAGGGAAGGTCCACATCTCAGACTGGGACAGGGGATAGGCATGTAGAAAACAAGGGCTTATGTAAGGCCTCTGTGGGCAATGGCTTCCATTTCAGGCATAGGGTTAAGAATGTGCAAACAACTCTGCTGGATCATACCACAGGTCCACCTAAGTCCAACATTCTTTCTCCCAGCCAAATATCTTTGAGAAGCTCAGACTGGGGCATAATGGAAATATAGTGGCACTCTGTCTGTTCCTAGTATCCGGTAAGTCGAGGATATACTAGTTCTGAAAATGGGAGGATCCGTTATTAACCACCCCAACCACTTGTGAAGCTACACACAAAAAGGATTTGTTGAGCCATCAGAGGCCTGTCTCTCCTTTAACACTTAGCCCAAAGTTGCACCTCCACCAGACTCACAATTATGAAAAAGAAATTCCACCCAGAGCCCTTCCTGATGGCATTTTACTTCAGACCATAGTTTATAAGGGGAAGCTTCCAGCAGATGAAGGCAACACCATGTTGGCCAAGCAACGAGAGCATCCAAGACAAACAGGTGAACCTCTTAGATAAGCAGATGTAGGCCCCGCTCTTTCTGCTGGTCACATGAGCCGTATGCTCAGCCAACAACAGCTGAAGGAACTTAAAACTGGTAGCACATTCCAGATTTAGGCAGAGCAGAGTCTACAGGGCAGGCTGAGAAAAATTCGTCCTTAATAAACCCCAAGTTAATTCCAGCAAAGGCCATTTTGTGGTGGGGTAGATGGAAGCAAGGAATCCTGAATAAGACAGGCCCAACTCCAAGCCAATGCACCATATATTATGGTGCTGCTGAAGGGAGAGTCTTTCATAATCAAATTTGCAGAGTTTGGAGTTACACTTAACTGTTTAAAGCCAACTTACCACCCCCATAGTCCTGACCCTCCATATCAAGACCACTGATCTGGGCCATCTGCGCAACAAATGTAAGCTTGTGAGACTTATTCTGCTGAGTCACCCAGGTGAATCCAGTTATTTCTATTCACCTTTGTTAGAAGGAAGCTATTCTTCTCTGTGGCTGCCATCACCTCATAAATGACAAACGTCAAACCTCAATCCTGTGCAAAATGTTTCAAAGAACACACCAAACACAAAAACATTGTACTTCCACCAGACTTCTGAGAATCAGAGGTATTGTTAAAAGAAAAATAAAGAAGTTTCTAGTTCTTATTATTCCAGATAAGAATTTTTAGAGGTATGGGTATGCTAAAGCACCAATGACAGAGGAGAAGAGCACAACTCTTTCTGTGCCTGCTCTCATGAATGGCAACAACTTTCCCCACTGCAATTCCTGGCACAGGTGGTGCTCTGCCAAATAAACTACAACCGTCTAATGCAGTGCACATCCGCAGTCACATGTTTGCTTTAAATATTATATTGCTTAATCTTTTATTCTCTGTGTGTGAACATTTGACATTTTCAATCACAGGATTTTGTTTTTGTTTTTTACTTCCTTGAGTCGGTTTAGCCAACAAAGGTGGAGAAACCAGAATGCTGGTGATATTAGAGTTGTTACACTGAAGGTCAAAGGTCCTGGAGAACCCTGTCAAAAGGCCCAGTGCACATCGGACCAAAAATTGTCCTGACACTAGTCTTTCTTCTGGAGACACATTTTATTTTTTAAAAAAGCAACTGAGTAATAACTTTAAAGGCAAATGGATCACTGAATTATTTTGTAGTACCAGGCTCCTCAAAAGTAGAAGGATTAGTCTTCCTGATGTGCACAGAAAAGGGCATGTCAGTGAATGTACTCAAAGACCCCAGGGGCTGATATGAAGGAGTTGAAGGATGGACCATTAATTCTTGGGTCACTATACAGTCCAAACAGCAGTAATAACAACAAAAATCCTGGAGGGAGTCTTAGCCAAACTGATGCCAATTCCAACTGTGGTGGTGCTGGGAGGCAGTCTAAACAAAGTAACAGATAGATAATAGTGGAGCCTGACTGACGATAGTGGGACCTGAATGACAATCAGGACAGCTCAAGAGATTAAGGGGGGGGGACAACAATTGGGTAGGAGCACACCACAGTTGGTATTTTGCTATATCTAAGCACCCCAGTCTCAGCAATCTTGCAACTCAAATGACAGGAAGAATTCCAAAGAACTTCCAAATAAACTAAGAACACTGATTTAGGATAGCTATGTATCAACGTCTCATTAGGGCAAGTACTGCAGCATATTGCTGGTCTGAAGCTACACCCAACAGCATTAGATAGCTAGGATAGCTCAGTCAGCAGAGCATGAGACCTTAATCTCAGGGTTGTGGGTTTGATCCCCAAATTGGGCAAAAAGATTCCTGTACTGCAGGGGGTTGGACTAGATGATCCTCGTGTTCCCTTCCAACTCTACAATTCCTTGATTCTCTTTGACTCTCAGGGACCATTATTCCCAAAGACTTGAAACTACAATCCTGTTCTGAGAGCACTGAAAGCAGAGCTCAGAACTGGAGGCAACCATAGCTCACTTGCTTGGGATGAATAGTAGTTATCAAAATGGTAACCGCTATTCTGAAAAAGGAAAATTTGTAGTATGGCAAGAACATCAGAACACCTATATTCATCAAAGCTGTTAGTTTTCTGTTGCAACATAAAATAACAAAACTACTTTAAATAGAAAACCAGAATACCCTCAGCTATTAGAACCCCAGGAATCAGCTGAACTTCAGAGTATCAGGCAATGCTAACACAGTTTTTAAAAAATTTATTTAATCATTTTTGCAACAACTGCAAAAGACACATACAACAAAAACCATAATAACACTAATAACACAATTTGACAATTCAGATTTGAATACTGATATACCTAGACAGCATCTTAAAAAGCAGAGACATCACCTTGCCAACAAAGGTCCGTACAGTTAAAGCCATGGTTTTCCCAGTAGTGATGTATGGAAGTGAGAGCTGGACCATAAAGAAGGCTGCAAGAAAATCAAACCTATCCATTCTGAAGGAAATCAGCCCTGAGTGCTCACTGGAAGGACAGATCCTGAAGCTGAGATTCCAATACTTTGGCCACCTCATGAGAAGAGAAGACTCCCTGGAAAAGACCCTGATGTTGGGAAAGATGGAGGGCACAAGGAGAAGGGGACGGCAGAAGACGAGATGGTTGGATAGTGTGCTCGAAGCTACCAGCATGAGTTTGACCAAACTGCGGGAGACAGTGGAAGACAGGAGTGCCTGGTGTGCTCTGGTCCATGGGGTCACGAAGAGTCAGACACGACTAAACAACAACAACATACCTATGACTACACCTTTTTAACGGTTTTTCCCCACCTGTCCTCCCCCTACTTCCCACCACTGTCTGCCTTATCGCTTAAATATTCCTTCCAGATTTCTTCGTATTTATCTATTCTTAATTTGTGTCGACATGCAATTTGTTCGTATGTAGCTAGTCTGTCCATATTATCAATCCATGTGCTCAATGGAATCTTTTTGAGGCTCTTCCAATTCATCAATGCTAACACAGTTAACAACCCCGTCCCCAGCGACCAGTTCAGTGTCTCTGGCCCAATTGCCACATGTGGTTAGATATATCCCCCAACCCTTATCAGAAGATGCTACACAACTGAATATCTGAACTGCCTCTGCACTGACCACACGCGGTTGCTTAGTTACATCTCTCTAGCCCTAAACCACTTAGGACCACTTGGTAATTTAAGGGCGGCTTTCTCCTACCTGCCTGCCTCCACATTAAAATATCCCTCAGAGGTCCCTATTCTTGTCCTACCGCAGTAGAAGCAAGATAGGCAGCCAACAGAAACAAAGAGGTTCTTGGTGGTAGCCCCTCCAACACACACACGTGCACTTTGGAATTCTGTCCCGAGGAAGGTTTGCAACATGTGCTTTAATTTCTGCTGGGGAAACAAAGTGGGAGATAATCACAGTTCCCTGTATTTGGTGCCAGTTGTCTAGCTGCTGTATTTTCTACCAGTTCCCTAGTGTATAGTTTGAAAATATTAAGTTAACAACACAATTCTAACTACTGTATTGGCCCAAATATAAGCTGTACCTGCAAATAAGCTGCACCTTCAAACCTGAATATAAGCCGCTCCCTTAAAATTCTGCAGGCACTCACACCCATAAATGGCAAATATAGAAGAAAATCCTACAGGTACCATTCCCCCGTGCTCCTGGGCTGCTACCTGGGGGTGGGGGAGCAGCGCTGCTTTGCTGGCGGCCTCCCCCCCCCCTCATTCCGACGTCTCGGGGGAGGCTTGGGAGCGGCGGGCGAGCTGGGCGCCATTGCTCTGCGCTCCCGGGCTGCTTCCTTGGGGGAGGGGAGCCACGCCGCTTTGCCAGCAGCGTAAGGTCATGAATATAAGCTGCACTTTAACTTTTCACTGTTGGAATGGGGGGGGGGAAGTATGGCTTATATTTGGGCCAAAACGGTATGTCTACTCAGAAGTAAGTCTTACTGAATTACACAGGGCTTATTAAGTGGTGTTAGGATTGTAGCCTAACTTATGGAAGTTCATGAAAAAAGCATTACCTGTTGTGCAGGAGGTCCATCCCGACCATTCAGGGATGCTTGGGGGGGGGGCACGAGAAACTTTCTTTCCATAAACTTCCTTAACATATTTAAGGATCCAAGCCAGTTTATGTGAACATTAAAATGCACTCCAATTTCTCTTGGATAGAAGGACCAAGCTTATAGAATAAAGGCACTCAGTGTGGTGGTCATGACTCAACAAACATTTTTCATGTGTTGCTATCTATTTTATCGCTGTTTCTGTACTGTTCAAGAGATTGGGGGGAAGGAGACAAGGAGGAAGAACGCAAGCCAAAAGCATCAAGGCATTTTAAAATACGAAGGGCGACAGATCCCATTAACATGGCCACACCCTACCTTTCCCCTTCCAGCTCTGTCTAACAGAAGAGTACAATGTTCAGATATTTGTGGTATAATGCAGCAGCCAGACAGTATACAGGATAGAGTTGGAAACAGCAGAAAACCCAGAGTCTTGGTTGGGGCAAATACATCAACCAAAGCAATATTGGCTTTAAGGGGCTGACCTCCAGTCACCGTTTTAATCTGCTGGTGGAACAGCTGGCTCTCTTTCACGAAAAGGTCTGGAATGTCTCTCTGGCATGTCCTCAGATGTTCTCTACTGAAGAACACCAGATGAGAGCCTGGGACAGCATCTTGTTACAAAGGGAAAAGCTGCAGTGCCGTCACCCCACTGTGAAGCTTCTTCATTTCCAGATAACAGCTTTGGGGGCCTCTATAATTTAAGCCTCAGGGCAGAGCACATGCTTTTGTCACCATGAAGCCTCCTGGAGGTACACAGCCCAACCTGGCTGTAACATTCATCATTATTCACTGTGCAAACTTTGCCCTCAGGGTGTGAGTCTCCACCCCTCCGTGTTCCAGGCTGACATGGGGGGGAGTAGTGTGTTAAGATCCAAAATGTAATGGCATCCATTCATGTGGCAGTGACCTGCATGTGCTACAGCTGGAAAGGGGAGTAACCTGCCACAGGAAGGCCCTTTTTGGTGGCATCACTCAACCACCACAGAACATGTCATGCCTGTCAGGTAAGTTTTAATCCTACATGTTTGGAGGGCTTTAACAGCAGGCTATCTTACATGAATTTGTGGCTCTTAGTAATGATGTTTGTGTAATACCTCCATATCAGAGGTAACATGCCTCTAAATGCCAGTGGCATGTCCTGTTTACAAGATTGCAAGGGGCATTTGGTTGGCCACTGTGAGAACAGGGTGCTAGATGAGATGAACTTTTGGTCTGATCTACAAGGCTCCTATGTTCTTATGCTAGGGTAGCGGTGGCCAACCTTTTGGATTCGTGAGCACATTTGAAATATTGAGTGTACTGTGGGCATCACCTTGAGATGACTCCTTCGCTCTCAAACTTGTATGGCCACTCATGTTCTTTGCTTTGCAGAGGTCTGGAAGACCCTTCCTCCATGACTAGCACACACCCCAGGACATTCACTTGCATGGACATAAATCTTTGTACCCTGGGAGAGTTATTAAATGCAGGTTGGCACCAAGCTTCTTGCTATGAGTATTTTTAAAAAGAAATTCCCTGCGTCTTGCAGAAGTCAATCTTATCACCTGCATCCAATGTCTGGGGACATATGTGATCAATTTCTTGGGTGCAAGGCTACACATGGAAACAAATGAGCTTCCGGAAAGACCACTTTAAGAGGCAAACTGCCAACAGTCCTTTGCAAAAGAGTTAGCAATACAATAAATCTACACCCCATTAGATTTTTTTAAAAAACTTTCATTACAGATGAAACTGTCTGAACAATGTTCTTCTGTTAACCACACCTTGGATTAAGATTTAATGGTGGTGCTGGGGGCCAGATGCAGCCTGCCTGCCACTAGTTTATCATCTCTGATTCAACAGAAAAGAAAAGCTTTTGAAGAGATCCTGCAGAAGGGGCCTAAAGAGGGCAGGGATACAGGAAGTGGGCAACACACAGCCTTCAACAGAACCTTTTGAAAGTGTCACACAAACAAAAAGTAGTATAGAAACTTGCAGATTTATAGAACTCTGGTTTCCTAAAGATCAGCCCACAAGACAAGAATCCTCAGTGTGTGTTATCTCCATAATGCATTCCCTGTCTCACTAGAAGTAATGCAGATGCTATATCTGCAAAAACAAAAAAACCCTGCATTGCACAATGGTGGGAGGAAAGGCTTTATAAATTTTGGAATTTTGCCAATATGCATAAACTTATCAAACAAGTTCAAGAAGCATGAAAACTTGAGAAATTAATGTCCATCAATCATTTGCGTAAGCAGATATTGATGCCCAAGAGAGAAATGGAAAAGGTTTCTTATATTGCTTAATTTATGGACTCTGCATTATATTAATATTGCATTAAAGCATTCCATGTTAGAGATGAAAAGGCTTTTTTGGTGTTTCTCTTATTACCTTGAGAATTTTAAGTGATGATTTCCTAGTGAGTCCCAGAATTATGGTTTATCATATATTATGCATTTTGCAATTGTAGTATTCCTGTTTCTCCAACACATGCTTGATATATATCAAATACATCACTTTCTGAAATTGTTCAATAAAATATAATTTTAAAGGGGGGAAGGAAATATACTTTATGCACATAATGCATGTTATCCAGCAGCTCCCCAACCATGACTTATTTCCAAGGATAAGAATACTATCAAGGTCAGAAGAACTTGGTGTTCTGAATGCATAGAAGACTGCAGGATTCAGTAATACGCACTGGGCTGCTGAAGGGTTGTGGGTGCCAAATGGCTCCCTTACGGCTGCTATGGGAAGGACAGAATGAGAACCATTTTAAAATTATAGATGGCCCTTCCCCCACCCACCCCAAGTTATATTCTGTTAACAACGACAGCATTAGGCAACAGGGCAACTTTAGCAGGCAAGATAAGCAAATCTATCACTGGAAGCTTTCACAAATGAAGCTGGGTGAACATCTGGCCCAGATGGTTCAAGGCCAAGAGTGACAATGGTCAACACTGACAGCCATGCAAGAAACATTCCAGTGTGAGACAATCGTTTTCTGCACCACTGCAAAAACACAGAAGCTTGCTCTAGTTAACTCCTGAGGACTCCAGTTTCTGGCATCCAGCAGAAAACAAGTCTGTATGATTCTAGCCCTCGTGTTGTTGGGAAAGAGATTTGAATGCAAGAACAGTGACTGAAATATGCTGATAAACCCAACTCACATGAACGTCAATATCCAGGACTAGGTGTGTGCTACAATTCTTTAAGTAATGGAAAAGAAATGCATATTGTTGGACACAGGGTTCAACTCACAACTAGAGCTTACAGCAGCTGGAATGTGAGAGGAAGACTTAATGTTTTCTCCCACCAATGGAAATCTGTAACTCCTTGCCATTCCTCACTACTCGCAAAACCAGTAGCATTTTATAAAATAGTAATATCCATGCAGAGGTTCTCCATCTGCAAAAACCGCACCAGTTGCACAAGTCAGCTTTCCCTGGTGCTTATGCACATTATTTTTTGTGGCCAGAGTAGACATTGCCCTACCAATATCCCATGTGAGACTTGGGGAGCGTCAAGTTTGTGTGCTGGTAATATTACATTTTTATCCCACCCTTCTTCTAAGGAACTCAGTGTGAGGATCATAAGCCTCTGTCCCATTTTAGTCTGGCAACAAGCTTGTGAGGTATGTTAGGCTGAGTGAAGGGAACTAGGTCAAGGTCACCCAGTGAACTTTTTATCTGAGTTGAGATTCAAACTAGTGTCATAGAGCAAGATTCTAGGTGGCACAACATCAAATCAACTAGTAACTGATCCGAGGCTTCAGGTTCTTAAATAGCCATTTAAAAATGACTCCAGTACAAAACTTTGATATAATGCCTGTTTGGCACCCAAAGGCCACCTCTTCATCCTAGGAACATTCCGTGAACTCAAAGGCACATACTGCAAGATTATTTCAGCCTAATTCTCACAAAGTGATTTTAATAGATACAATAAATAAAATCCTCTGCACACCCCCAAGATTCTGTTTTCTATATACAGGGAAATATTTGTTTTTAAAAACTTTTTTTTGTATGGAGGTAGACTGGACCATACAGATCTACATCACACCAACAGTCAGGTTTGCCACCACAGTGAGAGCTAGGCCTTCATTTGTTGAACAGCAAGAAAGCCAGATGAGAAATTCTGGGAGAAAATAATAGCACAATCAGCATTAGCAAGGGATTAAACCAAAACATCTTCACCAAAGCCTCCTTTTGCAGCAGTAGAACCAACAACAGACAATGTGCATATCCGCGTCACAAGGAGTCACCACCACTTAGCACAGGGGCAGAGCATCTTTGGCACTCCTGATGTTGCTGGACTACAACTCTCATCTTCCCTGACCACTGGACTATGCTGTGTAGAGATTAAAGAAGCTGGGAATCCAACAACATATGGGAGAACCACGGGCTCCTCACCCTGACTTAGTACAACAGGCTGCAGCATTACATCTGGGAGGTGCCCAGCCAAAAACAAAGTGAAAGAATGTGGTGTGAACACAAGGAACAGGAACTCTGAAAGCAGAGCTCCCAGAATGGGTCAGAATATATGAAGGGGAGAGTGCTACTGAACATATGAGGCATGTGCTCAAAGTATTGTTGAGCAGATAGTTGGACCCCACTTCCTATCTTCCTATCCTGCCGCCCCGAGGGAGGGAAGGCTGGTGTACTCTGCCCAGCCCTTGGGATTTCAGCAGATTCTCTTCACATGCTGCCAAGCATCAATCTGAGCCCACAGGAGACAGAAAAAATGCTTCTAAAACAAGTACACAAGGAGTCTCAGGACACCATGTGCGTAGTCAGGGCCCCTAGAGAGGAGAGCAAGCAAGAAGAGTGCTGCTGGGTTACTGGGCTGCTCACCCACTCTGCACTGGAGGGAGATGCAGAGCAGATTCAGGCCCAGACGGCTCTATTTTGGATTTCTAGAGAACTGATCACAAACTAAGAAGCCAGCCTGAAAATTAAGCAGGAAGGAGGGAAGACAGGTTCAAGATCCATCACTAAATCCATATAAGTCCATTATTTTGTCAGCACCCTTAAGCCCTGTACCTGCCTCCAACCCACCCGCTCCCTTTTCCAGCACTCCCATATGCCCAAGCAGACCCTCTTTCCTTCTCCTGGCAATGCCACACTTCAGCATCCTAGTTATTCTGCTCTTCTACATCCTGCACAGCAATCAGTATATACTGACCATATATGCTATCTCATGAGGAAATGAGGCCACTTTTGGAATAACAGAGAATTCAGAGGAGCAAAGCCACACACTCCAGGCTTTAGAGCAGCGGTTTTCAACCAGTGTGTCGTTGCACCCTGGGGTGCCTTGAATTATCATCAGGGTGACATGGGCAACACCGGCCTCTGTCCCTCCCTCCTTCCTTCCTTCCTTCCCTCCCTCCCTCCCTCCTTTGATGCCCTCTCAAGACTCTGCTTCCCAAAGGCTTGCGTGGCTGTTTGTTGCAGCAGCCCTGGCTACAAGCTCCACAGGCCTATGGTGCCTATGGGCCTGGCCAGGGAGTGCTGGTTGCCAAGAACTGAGGCAGCTTTGGAGCATGCAAGCAAGCAGGCAAGCGAGCCCAGCCAGCCAGTCCGCCAGCTCTTGCTGTTGGGAATGGACAAACAAGTCCTAGGCCCCTGTGGGGCAGTGTGAGGAGACACCTCTCTTTGGGGTGGGGGGGGCAGCAGCGGCTGCCCAGAGGACTCCCAAGGAGAAAGGAGAGAAGAGAAGGCTGAAGGAACACTCCACAAGGGAGGGTGTTCAAAAAATGGTGAGAGGCTGCCAGCTCTGCAGGCAAGGGATGACATTCCTGGACTCCTGAGCCCCATGGGGTGCTGCAGAAAAATGAACTTGGTCAAAGGAGCCATGGACTCAAAAAGACTGAAAACCTCTGCCCTAGAGCACGCTTTGCTGAATGGTTAGTGCAAACTGGCTTTAGGCCAAGTGCATCTTCTCCTAATACACAGAGACATGGCATTTCAGCTTGTACTGAATCTCCCCCACCAGTCACTGAAGCTGAGAGGTACCAGCAAGAGTTATGCAGTCCACATGGTTACCTCCCCAACATGATTGCAGATCTTCATCACCAAGTGAAAAAAGGCACGCGTCTTTTTCATGTAAGTGAGCCTGCCAGATTAAGGCCAACAGTGCATCTAAACGCTTCTGGCATTCTATTACCAAAACTGGGAACCTCATAAAGCAGGACAGGACAGTAATCACACCCCTCCCCCTGCCAATTTGTCCTCAACAACCAATAATCAAAGGTACATGCAGAGAATAAAGAAGTGGAGCCTGCAACAGAACTTTGCAACGCATCCTGATCCTAACAAGCTATTGAGGGTTCTGGCCAGCTTGGAACTTGTACTATTCAGGGAAGTGAGTGGAAGCAGGGAGATAAGACACCTTGATTGTCCTGCCCTGCGTGAGTACTTCCCCTGCTGTGCTATGAAGACGTAGAGGGATCTGATTTAGAGCTGTCTGACAGCACTGAACTTGGGGTGGTTATGTGTCTGTGTTTGTCTGTGTTTGGGGGAGGGTGGGTCTGGAGAGGCGAAGGGAGTCATTTTTCCTTTCCTGACTCCTGACGTTCCCTGTACGGTGCAAGGAAATATACTTTTTTGAACCATCTCCCCCAACCTTAATCCCCTCTTCAATATACTTACAAAAAGCTATTAGGGACTTAGGGAGGCCAATTCCCTGTTATTCCTTCCTTTCTCCTTTCCTCCTTTCCCACACCCTTAAACTGGAACCTCAACACCCCATGATTCCTCGAAACTCAGCATTCTTTACCAGATTGTTTAAGCAGCTTTAAACATAGACAGTTAAACATTTACTGTATATCTAGAGCAGGGTTTCCCAAACTTGGGTCTCCAGCTATTTTTGGACTACAGTTCCCATCATCCTTGCCACCGGTCCTGCTAGCTAGGGATGATGGGAGTTATAGTCTAATAACAGCTGGAGACCCTGATCTAGAGTGTCCCCCAAGTATAAAGAAACAACCACCCTATTTTTGGTTGGCATCACTTTGTTTAAGAACTGAGAGGTGCTTGATCACCCAAATTTGCAGCTGGGATGAATGACAACTATTCATGGGGCTGGACAAGTCTATAGAGGATAGGATATCCCTGCCTCCCACCCAGATACACACTCCAGAGAGCAAGTAGCTGTTCTCTGGGTGGGTTTTTGAGGCTTTCCCCCAAAGCACAGGTGCCTTACCCAGGAGATCCATCACACCCCACCCCTCCAAGAAATGCTCACTCACTGTGCCACACACTTTCACATCGTGCAGTCGGCCCCATTCATCCTCATAGCTGTCCACCATCATGATGCTGTCGTCCTCTTCTTCATTGCCCAGCTCCGCATGAAGATGGAGTCTGACCTCTTCCCCAAGTGAGTGCATTCCCACAGCTGGGAAGAGCCCCTCTGGGGAAAGTGGCATTATAGTGGAGCCCACCTGTGGGAGGAAGCCAATCTCTCTGTTATACATAGCGCTGCTTCTGTTTTCCAGAACACATCAGTGTAGCGAACTGGCCAAGAACCATTCTACAGATTGCACAGAATGAAGTGGCAGAGTGAGTTGGCAGAGTTCTTGGACTGTACCACTTCAGACTGTTGGGATGGGGGAGATATATTTTTTTTAAAAAAACCCCTTTGTATTTAGATAACTAGCAAGGTGGAGCAAAAGGTACAGCGTGGGTCTCCCCTTGATGTGCTAAGTTCTCTACATGCAAGGAGGGGGTTATTTTACATGGGGAAGAGTTAAAAAACGAAATTCCACTCGCAAATCAAGGTTGGTACAGTCCAGGATTCCATCGCCTCATTCTCTTTTAATATGTGACAGATGACTCCAAGTATGTAAGCCAGGAGTTCCCTGGGTCAAATTTCATTTCATTCAACTCAATAGGTGGCCTCGGGGAAGCTAATGTTTCTCTGGGAGGGGAAAATACTATATTTTCTGTTTCATTTATATATCCATGTTTCTTCCTTGGGGTTCCATGGGGTTACCAGGAAGCCACCCATTCAGGAACTGACCGGGCCCAGACCTGCTTAGTTTCAGCAAGGCTGCTGCATTATGTGCCTTCAGGATGTGCCCTGGGGCAATGCCTCCTTTAACCCCCAACAAAGAAGCTACCAAACTTACCCTCTTTCCATTTTTGGTGAAGAATATCTGAGCTGTCTGGACTTCAAAAGATACTGGCTCAATCCCACAGCCGATTCGGTCCCCAGAGCTACATTTTGTCCCAAACTGACGGCCCTTGGCTCGGCCATTGTAAAGTCTGGATGGGTAAACACACAAGCAGATCTTGAAATAAGTTTTAATGGACAAGATGTGTCATTATCCAAGGAAAAATGGACAATATTATAATGCACAAGACTAATAGGGTAACAGTAAACAGGTCTATAATCTTAAAGAACACTCTTTGAGTTTGGGAAGCCCACAGTTTAAGGTTTCACACTAAGTTCTATCCATTTCCTCACCAAATAGAAGCACCCAGAAATGTCACAAGTGATCCTTCTAAGTTCCCTTGAAAAGAGGGCATAGCCAGAATCCCAGCCCCATTATCTTATCTGTATTCTAGAATTGGCTACTTACACATTGGTATCAGAAAGGCACCAACATCCTACAGCAGACCACTGCTAGAGTGGGAGAAGACTGATTCAGAAACCACTGGCCACTGTCTATGCTGGCTGATGGGAGGTGTCCAACAACACCTGGAGGGCCAGAGGATAGCAACTCCAAATCTAAAATAATGGTTGCTGAAGATGGGGGAGTGTCAGGCCCTGCAAAGCCTCCAGGATGCCTTCCTCAGGGTTTCTCCTCACACACAACTACCTCTGGTCACTCTCCCTCCTCTCCCCTCTGTGTTGCAAAACACAGAATGGCAGCCCCATGAGCTATCAAGCACAAGATTAAGATCTGCAAGCAAGCAAGAATGGCTGCTGTAGCAAGCAACCCAGATTCTCTGAGAAGAGTCCCGTGTGCATGCAAGCATGGACACACAGTCCTCAATACTGAGGAGCCACAACTCTTCAAAGCATATGATGTAAGGGGAGGAGAGTTATTTCCCATGGAACTTCAGCCCTGGCAGCTCTTTTTAAAAATTGTTTATTATTTCTGAAACATATACCCTCAGCCTTCAATGGCCAATCAGCATTCCTAAGGCAGCTTTCAAAACAGTAAAAACCAACAAACCACAAGTCATCTAAAAGAAAAAGAAAGCAAAGTACAGTATACAATTCCAAGCAATGGAACTCACAACAACTCAAAAAGAATTAGAAGCTTTATAAGTTAGCAATGTTAACAACCTGGGAAAGGAAAGGTCTTCACCTAGCAACAAAATGAAAGCAAAGCAGACACCAGACCTGGAGGGAATTTCACAGGCAGGGCATCACTCTCCAGGGGCCACCAACTATCCTTCTTATGGTGGTAGGTGCAGCAGGAGAAGACCTTCAGATGCAACTACACACTTAAGAAATGCACATTGTCACCAGGAGAAGCAGAGGGGGAAATAAAGAATGCACACCACCATGTGTGAACATTGCAAAATGTGGGTATTTTACCTACTGTAAATGCACTGGAAAACTGCTTCTAATTCCAGTTTCCCTCACATAAGAGCATGTGTGCATGTGTGTGTCAGATATACATGCAATTGTTACACATAAGAGTTCACACTGAATTATTTCAGTGGCTGCAATGTTTAGCCAACTAAAGGATAAGATAACTTGCGTAAGCCATTTGATCTACAAGGTGGGCGGCCACTGAATGAGATGATACATTTCAAAGTAACATTTTAAAATGAAAATCTAAGAGTTTGCTTCATCTTAGAACATGCTATTCCATCACATGCAGGAGAGAGCCAGCCACGGCACACGTGCATCACCTAAAAACAAGTAAAAGTATGGTTTTTATGAATGGCAAATTGAAGCAACCAAATTCTGCTGAATCAATTGACAGCCATAGTCAGTGGTTTTTTCTAAAAAAAAATGTTTGGGGCACTCTCATTTTCCTACTCATATTGAAAGACTGCCCCTCAATGAGGCCTTAGATTCACTTAGATTCACAAAATGTTTAGGGGTATGCGTCCCCCTAGAAACAAAGCACTGGCCATACTTATTTCTTACACCCATGGAGGGGAAAAAACATGTGGAATGGCTCTTAAGCTCCTGAAATGTAAGCAGTTAACTCACTTGCCATCATCGGCATGGTAGGCAACTGAATCCGGTAGCCATCCGGGTTGATGGTCCAGGCTATAATACTGAGGCACCAGCCCCACTGCAATGGTCCCTCGCACACCGCTGTCCACAATTGACACCTAGGAACAAGACAGAAGAAAGAATGCACCAAGACAGTAGTACTTTCCTCCAAGGAAGAGGGCCGGTTTCCTGCCTGGTATATAAAGGAAACATGAGTGGGTTGCTGAGTAGATTTTAAAACAAGCTGACTTTGTGCAGAATGTAACAATAAATAACATTGGGGACTGGAGGTGAGAAATGTTATTTGACATGACAAGATAGCAGAGTCACTGTAGCATATGAACTAAGAGGAACAAGTTCCCAGCACAAATCTCTCATACAAAAAAATTATGTAGGTGACTTTAGGGAAGGTACTAATCTCTTGACTTCAAATTTGCCATCTGCAACATGGACATACTACTGACATGCTATAGGGTTTGTTATGAAGATTACAGACATAAGACACAAGAGCATTTTAAACTCCTTAACACACTCTATAATGGCTAAGAGCAGGGGTCAGCCAGGTTTACCTCGCCTGGGCCGGTTCACTCCAGTGGAGATCCCTCCCTGGGCCAGAGCGCACGTTTTCCCTCCCGAATTTCTGCATCTGTGCAGATGTGATTTCTGGCGCTGCAGAAGCACTATGCCGGCTTAGCGCAGCAGCGGGGCCTCACTGAGCAGGCAGCTTGTGGGCCGGTTAAACGACCCCTGGTGGCTGCTTGTGGCCCATGGGCCTTATGTTGCCAACCCCTGGCTAGGAATGACTGGATTGTATCCAACTGTGTGTAAGCAGAATGGACATCCTCTTGAGCAACATGACTTCATCTTCCTCTCCTCTCTCCTGCCCATCTTCAAAATCTGCTTAGGGGATTAGGGGACTCTCCAGAGCAGATCTGGGGGGTGCAGGGGAAGTAGGGAAAGTTGAAGTCTGTTCACAGCACACTTGATTCTGCCCACTATTGTGAATGGAGTTCCGGGGTTCCCCTTCTAAATTATCTACGTTCCAGGACCACACACCTCTCTGCTCACGAGAATGTGGAGAATGGGTCAAGTAGCTATTAAATATTACAAGTGGGATCTGCAACAAAATGTGGCAGTTAAGAGTGCAAGATTCTACCAATGCCCCTTTTCCAGGAAACTCCATGGCATACTTGCTCCAGGTTTCTGCTCCCACTCCACCCCACAAGTCAGTCATCATTCGGCTATGGTGTTTGCGGGCGGGGGGGGCACTCCTAAGGATTATTTAGTATTTCTGGAAACCTTAGGTTTGCCCAAGCCCATTGATCAGTTGCTACCTCCCTTTTGGCTACATAAAGATCCACACCTGCAGAATGGAATCTACTCTCCCCTTCCCACTAACTTGCTAGCACAATGACCCCACTAGCAATGAATCCCGCTGAGCCAATGGCATAAGGACATGACATGGCCTTAGCATCAACTGCCAGCTGCTCTACCCTGCACAGACTGCCAAAGGGACGTCAAACGCTCTTAAAAACAGTTCTCCCCACTATGTATGGAGGGTGGCTTCGGAAGGACGCAATAGGCTTACGCCCTGCCATCCCTGTGCCATTTTGCAAGTCTCACAAAATGGCACTGCACTCGCAGGGTGCTGTGAATGCACCCCTCAAAGTAGGATGGCATCAGCAGTGTCGGCCAGCCAGGCTCCCCAATGCATGGCCAGGCAAGTGGCGCAGCGCAGCACCGCTAGCTCCAGTGGGCAGGCATCGATCTGGCAGCGCACTCCACCCACCCCAGGCGCCAACGAAGAACACTCCGTCAACCTACCTAGACTGAGTTTTTACACATTCTATGACCCATCAAGACAAATGCAGTCCTGTCAGCCATATATTATGGTCTGCCAGGTCCAGGACAACTCTGTGTTTACAGTCTTAGACAAGCAGCATTGAGAAATGGTTTAAAGACCACAGTAGACCACATTGCTGCTGGGATCTACTCAGCTTGATGATTCTAGGAAGTACCATCGCTGATGTTTGCCATCATTAGCAGCTCTTCCCTTGACCCAACCCCCACTATTATGTTTGTCATGCCTGACTTTTCCCTTTGATGCAGAAATCATGAAACTACAGCATCTCTAACAAATGGCTGCCTAGGCTCTCCTTAAATACATCCAAAGGAAGGAGAACCTCCTAAGCCAGCCTGCCCCACTGCCAATCAGCTCTTGCCATTAGGAAACGTCGTCTAATCTTTTGCTAAAATTCGGGTCGTTTGGTTCTAGCCTGGCCCTCAACAGCAACAGAAAACAAAACTGTTAGACACAAAAAGTGAAAACCATGGAGGATCCTTGGTGTTAACAGCATTTTGATAACTATTGCTCCAAACCTGTTGCAAAAAGAAAAAAAGATGCCTCCCAATTGTCAAGAGAGCTGAGCAAGTTACCTCAAAATAATTGTTGTCTTTGGTCAGTGGGCGAGGAGCAACGTAGCAGCCGACTTCACCAGAATTTCCATGGTAACTGCAGAAAAGATATGAGGTCAGCTTCTCCAAGCTCCAATCAAAGTACAAAATGCAACCGCTTTAGAAGCAGCAGCAAATAAGAAAACTCAGGCCTAGACATCAGGCCACAACAAAAGAAGCAAGGGACTATTAACAGTAAAGTCCTAAACTTCAGCAATCACCTCCTTCCTGGAGCAAGATCTCCATACTGCTGATACAGTTTTTCTTCATGATACTGACTAGGCCAGAAGCCACTTGGAGACAGAATAACTGAGCCAGAGGTAGCCAACATGGTGCCCTCCAGATGTTGCCGGACTATAGTTCCTATCACATCTAACCACGGGTACATGCTAGCTGAGGCTGATGGGAAGTAGTCTAACAACATCCAAAGGGATTTGGCTACAGCTGACATAGGCAAAGGTGTAGAATTCAATGCTTTATAGAGACCTTCAACATTTGGTTTACAGGACAGGCGAGTTTAAAAGCCACAAAAGGAATTAAATGACCCAAACCTCAGTTCTCCAATTTTAAAAAACTTATTTCTTTCCCTATAATTCAGGACTAGGGAACCTCGGTTTTATTTTACAACTTAGAAATATTTTCTTTTTAATATGTTGTCTGGAGAGCCACCAAAGAGGTAAAATTGTTTTATTGTTAGGTCTGACCCACTCAGTCAGCTGACCAATCTGTTCTAAATGACAGCAAAGTTGATGCACCAAGTGGGTCACTAAAGGAGGAGAGTGAAGAGTGACCTATGAACTTTTTTCTTTCCTTTTTTTATAAAAAGGAAAGTCAGCAGTGAGGTGGGGCTTAAATGCCATTAAATTCTGGAGTTTAAAACTTTTGGTGCTCTGACTGTTTCAACAACTAGGCCATCTGTCTTGGAAATCTGAGTTTATTCCACATATTTGCTATTTCCCATCAACATGCATTTAAAGGGATTAAATCCTCATCTGTAAGAAGTACAAAATGTTGAAGATGCGGTTGGAGGATGGATGGCGGCTAATAGATTAAGGTTGAATCCTGACAAGACAGAAGTACTGTTTTTTGGGGGGGGCGGGAGACTCCCTGGTCCTGAATGGGGTAACTGTGCCCCTGAAGGACCAAGTGTGCAGCCTGGGAGTCATTTTGGATTCACAGCTGTCCATGGAGGCGCAGGTCAATTCTGTGTCCAGGTTAGCTGTCTACCAGCTCCATCTGGTACGCAGGCTGAGATCCTACCTGCTCGCAGACTGTCTTGCCAGAGTGGTGCATGCTCTAGTTATCTCCTACTTGGACTACTGCAATGTGCTCTACGTGGGGCTACCTTTGAAGGTGACCCAGAAACTACAACTAATCCAGAATGCAGCAGCTAGACTGGTAACTGGGAGTGGCCGCCAAGACCATATAAAACTGGTCCTGAAAGACCTTCATTGGCTCCCAGTACATTTCTGTGTTGGTGCTGACCTTTAAAGCCCTAAATGGCTTCAGCCCAGTATACCTGAAAGTGCATCTCTGCCCCCATTGTTCAGCCCGGACACAGAGGTTTAGCACCGAGGGCCTTCTGGCAGTTCCCTCACTATGAGAATTGAGGTTACAGGGAACCAGGCAGAGGGCACCCGACCTATGGAACATCCTCCCATCTGATGTCAAGGAAATAAACAACTACCTGACTTTTAGAAGACATCTGAAGGCAGCCCTTTTAGGAAAGTTTTTAATGTTTGGTGTTTTATCGTGTTTTTAATATTCTATTGGGAGCCGCCCAGAGTGGCTGGGGAAACCCAGCCAGATTGGCGTGGGATAAATATTAAATTTATCATCATATTCTTGTAAGAATATCTAATAAATGTGCTTCTTCAAAAGTCCAAAATAGATTCCTCAGCTTTCTCAGCACCAAAAATTACCTTAATGTGTCTCCATCAACAAGGATATGTTTGAACCTTTCTTGGTAGCGAACAGCTCGCACCTCTCGGATCTCCCGGATCCTTCTCCTCCAGTTCAGAAATCTGTAGTGCAGGTTTAAATCATCCATTATGGCTGTAAGGATCTACCTATGGGAGAAGATCATGTTCAAAAAGAAGTCTATGTTGAACTGAGCAAATGCCGCATTGCCAAGAACCCAGAAGTTCCGGGGAATATACTATAGGCATCAGTTCTGCTTATTGTGTTTAGCAAGCAGCCATTACACACATCATCATCACAACAACAGAAATACTGTTACTAATAACGGTTTACATTTCTGCTCCCCAACCCCTCGTGGAACAAGTTTGGACAAAATAAAACAAGGTTCAAACCTTCGGCTGGTCATGAAGCTTCCAAGACAGATATGAACAATGTACTAGAAAACCAGGAGTGGGATACTTGGGATAACCAGTTTCCAACAGTTACTGATGTTATCTCAACAGCATCCATTTCAACCAAGTTGCTCCAGCCACTGCAGCAAACTGATTACCATTCCTCAATCCTGCACCAAGCTGTGTTAATTCAGCATTACACAATCAAATGGCAAGTATACAATTGCACAACTCAGTTATTAAGTTGTCAAGTTGACAACTACTCAATTTCCCACAGAAAGAGGCACATGTGACAGCTAACGCATGCGCCATTTCTGGCCCCACAACAGGGGCAGAACAATGTCTCAGAACCAACCCCTATGCAAATGTGGAGTTGCCTGTATGCAGTAAACCAAGTCAGTTAAAAAGCATGACATTTAAAACAATAAAATCCAAAGTACAGGTTATGGGGAAATGCTTGGCTAAATAGGTATGCCTTCACACCTGTTCTGCTAGTGGTGCTTGCTTAGAACATGATCCAACTTTCTCGGAGCAGCCACAACCCATCTACGGTCTACAGAAACCTCAAGATTCCAGTCAGAGTCATGTGGTGGCTAGAATGCAATCTAAGAGGAGCAGTGTTGGAAACTGAGATATGAAAGCTAGGAACTAAATGGCACCTTAAAACTATATTATGGGTGCAACAACAGAATGTCTAGGCACGATTTTTTAATATCAGGAATACAAAGCTGAAAATGAATGAGCTGCAGCTAAAATATTATGTTCATTTTTCACACGGTCTAGTCCTTCCCCTGCCCACCCCCCTAATATTCTTGAGTGGGGAGGCAGGAAAAAGTCCTCCTTTCCCAGAGCTCAGAAAACTGTTCACGCTAATGATATTCCTGTCGCAAAATGCACCTAGAACAATGGGAGTTTCAAACATTGAAGAGGAGACCCATTGGATCAAACCAGAGCCCCATCTAATCAATGAGACGCCTACAGGAAGTCCACAAAGAGTGCGGCAGCACCTTTTCCACTTGCAATTTTCATCAATCCGTGGTATTAGGACATGTCAATTTAGGGGATGAAACTTAATGTCTACAAATTCCTTCAGTGAGGGGTTTTGAAAATATGTTTTTAGCTGTGAGGAATTCAAATTTGCTATTTTCTGTGTGGTTGAGCAACATTTAGCTTGATATGTTTGATGAAGAAGTACATTAACTGCTTTTGGAAAACCCCAAAATAATAATTTTACCTTCTGAAAATGTCACGCAATGCTAAATAATAACTATTACTATATAATGTGACTGCAAGTACTTGGCAATCATTTAAAAGGATTTCTATGTAATTCTACACACAAAACTAAAGTACATTAATTTAACCAAAGTATCTTTTGAGCTGCCAAGTCCTATTACTACTTTTTAGCACCCCTCCTTTTCGGAATTGGGAAGTTGAAACACCCAGCAGGCCCTGCGGAGGCATCCCGAGGCCCAGCCTCTCCACCCCTGGGCAGACCTCGGGGCCAGAGCAAAGGGAGAGCAGTCAGGAGCCCCGGAGCCTCCCCAGCAGCCAGGCCGCGTTTCCCACCTGGCGGGGCGGTGGTGGGGCGACAACGCCGCCGCCGCCTCAGAAGCCCTTCCTGGAGGGAGGAGCCAGGCGAGCCGGGTTCAAACAGGCTCCTCCCCCCGCCCCCGAGAAGGGGGGCAGCGGCAGCAGCCGTGCTTCTGAGACACATGCAGAGCGCCTGCCCTTCGCCCTTTCCAGGCCGGGGACGCCCGGCGCCCGGAAACTCACCCGGAGTTTCTCCTCAGGGAGGCGGCGAGCTGGCTGCCTCCCTCCCTCCCTCCCGGCCCGGGATGTCAGCGGGGGAAGGGCCTCCCCCCGCCTCCCGCCCCCCCCGGCCGCCCTTACCCCGAGAGGCCCCGGGTCTCCCTCCATGGGCCCCGCCCCGCGCTCGCCTCTCCCTCCGGCCGCCGCCTCCTCTCCGCCTCGCGCCTCCTGCCGCCCGGCCAACATCCGGGCTCCGAGGCGCCGCCTTCCCTCTCGCCGCGTCGCCGAGCTCCGCCCCGCCTCGCCCCGGCTCCTCCAATGAGGAGCGGGGGCGTGGCTTCTGCGCTTTCCGGAGCTGGCGAGGGAGAGGAGGCCTGAATGGGGCCGCGTGACGTCGTTTCCCGCCAGCGTGGGCGCCGTTTTTGAAGAAGGCTGAGCGAGCGCGACTGTGACGTAAGCAGGTTGCTATTACCGTCGTTGGCGCGCTAGACTCGTGCGGTTGGACGTCATCCCTGCGGGGCGTCTCTCCCAACCCCGTTGCAGTGCAGGAGTCTGGAAGTGCGGGGATCGAGCCCTTGGCCTTATCGCACCGCGCTCGACCCCGATGAGCGGCTGACCCATCTAGCCATGCGCTGCTGACCGAGCTGTCCGGGCAGTGGAGGGAGGGATCTTCTTTTAAATGGCCGCTCAAACGCACCAAATCCCTAATCACGGTATGGGGCATCTGTAGCAACAAATCCAGACCCCTTCCTCTGCCCCAGCTGCAGTAAAACATGCCTCTCCTGTATTGGTCTCTACAGCCACAGCAGGGGCTGCAACAGTTTGACTTTATCTCTGATACTGTATTGCACTCTTCCATTGCTGAGACACAGACAGATGGCCGTCAGTTACAGTGGTACCTCGGGTTAAGTACTTAATTTGTTCCGGAGGTCTGTTCTTAACCTGAATCTGTTCTTAACCTGAAGCACCACTTTAGCTAATGGGGCCTCCTGCTGCCGCACCGCCGGAGCCCAATTTCTGTTCTTATCCTGAAGCAAAGTTCTTGACCTGAAGCACTATTTCTGGGTTAGCAGAGTCTGTAACCTGAAGCGTATGTAACCCGAGGTACCATTGTATATATATTGCTACAAATGTTGGGCACCACCCCCACGCTCTGCCAAGTGGTAGCAAGATTCACAGGGGTGTTGCAGGCCTCATCCAGGGGTTGTGCTGCTGTGGAGAATTGAAGACATGGTGGTGTGTGTTGTTCACATACTTACAGCTTCAGTCGGCATGGAGGGAGCCCAGATCTTACAGCATGGTCACTTCAAGAGTGGCTTGTTCCTCACAGTAGTGCAGCATTGGGAGTCAAAGGCATCTCTCAGCCAGACTGTCCATGATCAGTGTCTGTCACTGCCCTCACCCTTCTTCCCAGCACTCCATGTTAAAGACACTCTTTTCCTATCTCCTTGGCAACCTCTGTCTGCCCAGGCCCAACACCTTTGCCATGTGAATGCTTCTATCCCAGGTGAGGCCCTGGCTTGGAAAGGAAGCTTAGCCTGTATTTTTCTACTGGCCTCCAATCTTCCCTTCAATGCTTCAAATAGTCAAAATCCTACCATTTACCGGTACTCATTTCTAGGGTTTAGCGGGGGGGGGCACCTCAAAACTATACAGTGGTACCTCTGGTTAAGAACTTAATTCATTCTGGAGGTCCGTTTTTAACCTGAAACTGTTCTTAACCTGAGCTACCACTTTAGCTGAAGCGTCTGTAACCCAAGGTACCACTTTATAAGACACACACACACACACACACATGGCCAGCTCATCCATGAGGCAAAGTGAGGCACCCACCTCAGGCGGCAGGATCCACAGGGGCAACATATTCAGCCTCCAAGAAATGCATTGCCTGCTACTGGTGCCACAGTGGCAATGAGAGGTGCGGCAGGCAGTCCCCCACCCCCAGAAATGCTGCCAGTGATGGCTGGTGTCAGCTGTGGTAGTTCCTAAATTACCAAGCTGAATAGAGCCTAGCTGCCATATTAGGTGGCTACAGTGGCCTCTTGGCAAATAGCCACTCTTGGCTGCTGGTCTCCTCCCACCCTTGTTCCCAATGTAGATCTTTATTCCCTCCCCCCTTGTTCCTGAGGCAGATCTTCACGCCCTCTTCCCTGGCAGGCAGGGGGCACCATTTTGTAGTTTGCCTCAGGTGCCAAAATGTATTGGGCCGGTCCTGTGTGTTTATACACACATAACGATATCTAATCTATATCTATATAGTTCTAAAATTAAACATTGATAGAATTAAAATCCTCCCTCTCACTTTCTCTCTCCGTTTATTAGTTTTCATTCTATCAATGTTTAATTGCTTTTATTGAGAGGCTTTTCCCTGTTTCTAGCTGTTGTTTTTATCTGTAAGTCGCCTTGAGACCCTGTTTGGGGGAAAGGGGGGGCAATCATCCTCATCCTCACGCTCCAGATATGATCTGGCATATCTACATGAAAGATTTGAACTGGTTTAATACTGATTCCTGTTCCCTAGGAGGACCCTAGGATGGGAACTGTAGTTCTGTGCAGCCACAGGATTTCCAGAGAACTATCACAGAACTTTCACAAAAGTGCAATGCTCAGTCTGGTTCTCAGGGGGAAGGGCAGGGGGGGTAGAGAGGAAGGTCCTTTATAACCAGCTGGATCACCGGCTCATCTGCAGGATTTTAAGCAGAAGTTCCTACCCTGCCAAATAAATACCAGAGATTGACCCTACGAGTTTTTGTATGCAAAGCATATGCTCTGTCACTGCCGATTCGCAAAAACAAAATTGATGTAAAACTGATACTTGTGGGGTGGACATGCTGTAAAGTGAGGAGAAAATTCCAAAGGAAATCTTGGTAGGCCCTGTTCTGAATACTATAAATACTGAATACTATAAAAAGTACAATTAAGCCTGTTTTCAAGACGGTAGGTAAAAAGCCAAACATGTGTTTGTTTAGAGGTGTAGTCAGGACAGAGTACCGGTACATCATTTTCAGCTTCCCAAAAGCCTTCTACTTGCAGCCTTCCACAGTAAAGCACATTCAGCCATTAAACATTGATGAGGGTGGAGAGAAAAGTAGATTATGATACTTGGCAGCAGCTGCCAGGAAGTTGTTTTTGGTTTCTTGGAGGCTGGGGAATTGAACAGCACTGAACAGGAGCAGTCTATCTGAACTTCAGCAGTAGTACACTTGAAGCTCTACAGCCGTTTTTAACTCACCAAACCTCAGAGTCAAGGATAGCAGAATTGGGAGCTTATCCTGGGTACAGGAAGGAAACATCACAGTGCAGCAGAGCTCAGAAAGTGCAAGCAGCATAAGGGGACCCCAGTTCCAAAGTTTAGAAGCTAGATGTGCACCATCTAGCAGCATAAACCTGGGGAAAATTATTTCACTGAGGCAGCAGCCTTTATCCCTAGAGTGCAATAGCTGTCAATAATTAAATAAAGGGTCCAATCAATAACTGCTGTTCGTTAACAGCACCTCTTCCAACTGCCCACTGGGAGGCTTGAAACAGATGAAAAGAAGGCCCTGTAAGATGATGGGAGCTGTAGTTTAACAGCATCTGGAGGGAAACAGGCTCCCCGCCCTTGAACATCCTTGAGGATACAAAAACAGACATCCTATTAAAGTGTGATAGATCACCAACCCCAACAACTGTTGCCACCAATCAGCAGGTGAAGAATACTGAAGTTGGAAGACCAAGGGAAAGTATAAGTGCATGCGGAATAAATTGTGAGTGCAATACATGGTGGAAGTCATCGTCAACATACTGTGGAAGTGAAGGTGGGCACCTTAACTTAATATTTCCATGCTTTCTGGTGCATAAGTGAATTATAACTTAAGAGGGAGGGAGGGAGGGAGAAATGCTCATATACTGCAGAAATGAAGCCAGACTCATTACAAGCAGGTAATTTGCTCTATTTTCAGCTCTTTTATGTCCTTGGGTCATTTCGCTATACTTCTCTGTTCCTTGGCTTTCTGCCAGAAATGCAGAAGGAATATTTTTCCCATGGTTGCTTCTGCACTGTAGCCCTATCTTTACCGCTGATGTAGCTTTGCTATTCTGTAATTTGCTCGAAGTACAATTAAAATGGAGGTTTCACAGGGTGCTTAATATAGTGCTGCCTTGTCCAGCGATGCTCTTCCACATAACCAAGATCCTTCTTTAATGTTTACTTTATGTATAAGTCCCCTTTCCAATGTTTAAGATTTCCTGTTTGTAGGGCCCGCCTATCTTGTTACTCCATGTTGACTTCATTGGGAGACTTAAGTAAAGAAAACTGTCTTAATAAGACACTTCAAATGCCCTATTATGAGATTCTGTTCTAGGTGCAGGAGGAGTAGATACTTCATCACTGGTTTCCTTCTATTATTTATTTTCATTTTAAATGGAGAAATAGTGCTTTTTCACTTCTAAAAAATGAAAATAATGAATGAAAACTAGCTATTAAAGCCCTCACCCTCATGGTAACAGAAAATGACACACTAGCTATTAAAAGAGAACAGTCAGGGCAATTCATAACTAATCTCTTGCGTATCCATATCAAGAATAAATAAAATCGGCTGCACTTGAAAACAGGAAGTGTTTAACTAAAGAGACAAGATTCCTTTGCCCAGAGCTTTTTTCAGCCAGAACTTGCTTCAGTTCCAGTACCTCTCCAGTGGGTGCCACTGCCATTATAAGAGAACTAGGCAGGCGTTCATGGTGAGTTCTGGCACCTCTTTTTCTAGAATAGCACTGCCTTTGCCTCAATAAAGGCTTGCTTGTCCACGCTTGGTCAGCCACCACCCTGGTGTAACTTCATTTTATTACGAAACAGTGCCTAAAAACCTACTAACCAATGTCTTTGAGGTGGTTAGCAGGTGTGAGCAGCTTCTTAAAATGGTGCACCAGGAGACCAATTTCTGATCTCAATGACCTGGCAAGTTTAGGTTTCGACCAGAGATAGCCCATGTAGTGCTGATGGATTCCAACACCCCTGCCATCCCTGAATATTTGCCATGCTGGTTGAGGCTTGTAGGACTTCGGAGTCCAACATTTGGATGGCACCATGTGGGCTACTTGTGGGCTACACATTTCATACATACCCTCATTGAGAATGATGATAATTTTTTACTCAACCTTACTAGCTTTCAAAAAAACCACGCAACCCTCTGGCAAGCAGTCTGAAGTGCTGGTTCTTGAATATACACACACAAAGAGAGAGAGGAAATTGCCCAGAAGCTAAAAGAACAGGACAAGGCTGTGTCTTTTTTTGGGAGCATGCCTCCTTCTGTAAGAAAGTCTTAACTGTTGGCCACAAACCGTCAGCAGCCCTAAACAGGCCAAGTCCCAGAAGTGTGAAGGATCACTACAAAGCAGCCATCCC